TATATTGTATGTACATATAATATTGATCATAATATTGTAACACAATATAATACTAATAATACAATACAATAATATAATAATTATATATATGTGTATTTACATGTAATATGACTATTTATTTATTTATTTATAGTATTTATATTCTGCCCTTCTCACCCCACAGGGGACTCAGGGCAGATTACAATGTACACATATATGGCAAACATTCAATGCCAAATACACACATAATATTGCAATATAGTGGTATAGTACAATATAGCAATATATAATACTAATATTGTGCTATGCTCATAATATAATATATTGTATGTACATATTATATTGATCATAATATTGTAATATAATATAATACTACTACTAATAATACAATATAATAATATAATAATGATATATATTACATGTAATGTGACTAATAATATTGCAGTATAGTGTCATAGTACAATATAGTAATATATAATACTAATACTGTGCTATGCTAATAATACAATATATTGTATATACATGTAACTTGTAAGCCACTCTGATTCCCCTTCGGAGTGAGAGATGGCGGGGTATAAAATAGTAAATAAATAAATACAGTCACATTGGGCAACACAGAGACACAAATGATTGAAACATAACAATACGACTCTCTGTGCATCATAGTGGGATTGTGCCCTCTAAAATGACTTTTGATGTGGCACAAGCTGCTTCTACAAACAGGAGGGCGTGCAAATCCATCTTGCCACAGACTCACTTGGTTAATAACCTGTGCCTTTGGGAACTCTTGCCCCCGTACTACTCCTCCATTCAAGGGGAGATTGTTTGAAGTGTAGCGAAAGATAAGGTGTGAGATTACCGTGCACGCAAGGACATTGAAGGCGCGAGAGCTTTATGACACTTTGCCCTAATTGCTCTTGGCCAGGAGCGTGCAAGTGCCGGGAGGACTTCCCCTGGCCTCCCTCACGCAAGGGCCAACCCGTCAGACTGGCTTATCAAAACCAGACCGTGCTAAATAAACTCAGCGTGGAAGGCAATCAAAGAGATAGCGTGTAAACCTGAAAAATAACAACAGTCGCAAATGAGGGCTGGACAGCCGCCAGGACCGAATGGCGCTTGGGCTTAGGAGGTGAATTGCGTTAGTTCACGGTTTGTGATAAGAGAAACGGATTCACTCAGGGCTTGGTGGGACTTCAAGACTGCCCATGCAAAGCAGAGAGAGGCTGGGACACTTTGGGGAGGGGAGATGATCACCGAGAACCCTCAACTCAACTTGCTCTTGCCTTGCCTTTTCCAAAGGGAATGAGACCCTTTGCTGAAAGGATAACAACGTCAAAAATTTACTTGAAGCATGCAGAAACACTCTGTTATCACTTCTCCTTTATATGGTCTTCGAATATCATATTGCCTGACCAAAAAACCTCCAAATACCTGAAGCAACTGGACTCTAGTCATAGCAACAGACCAAAATGCTCTCAACACATGCTACCATGTAAACCAGGAGTCCTCAAACTTTTTAAACAGAGGGCCAGGTCACAGTCTCTCAAACTGTTGGAGGGCCGGATTATAATTTGAAAAAAATGAATTGCTATGCACATTGCACATATCTTATTTGTAGTGCAAAAACACTTTAAAACAATACAATAATTGAAATGAAGAACAATTTTAACAAATATAAACTTAATAGTATTTCAATGGGAAGTGTGGGCCTCCTCTTGGCTGATAAGATAGGATTGTTGTTGTTGTTGCTGTTGTGTACATTCAAGTCGTTTCAGATTTAGGTTGACCCTGAGTGAGGGCCGGATAAATGACCCTGGAGGGCCGCAACCGGTCCTCTGGCCTTAGTTTGAGGACCCCTGATGTAAGCAGTCCAAAATAATTCCAATCCCATCTCCTCCAAGGTGAACTGAACCACCTCAACTGGGCTCTACAAGCCAATGGAGACTCCATCTCAGACATCAGAAGAGCTGCAAGAACGAGAACAAGCCACGAGAGTCAAGACAAAGATCCACCCAGAGGAAAAGGGGTCTTGCCAGACATCAAGGGAACCACTGACCGCATTGGGAAGCGGATGAGGAAACACAACCTACAAACTATCTCCAGACCCACTAAGAAAATCCAACCAATGCTCCGTTCAGAAAGGACAAGAGGGATCCTCTTACCTCTGCAGGAGTCTACATAAGGACCCCCAAACGCAGCAGCATTGCCCTGATACGCATCAAGGAACATGAAAGACAGCCATAGCAGAGCACCTGAAGAACCAACCTGGACACAGCATGTTACTGGAGATCACAGAAATGCTGGACCACTCTCACAACCACCATGTCAGATTACACAATCCATTTCAACAGAAAAGGGGAAACCATGAAAATGAACAAAATCTGGCTACAGTATTAAAAAAAACTTTAGAATCAGGACAGTAAATAAAGAACACTTAAAAAACAGGGGGTTCCAGATAAGAATAAATCAGGGCCAGCTAACATCTCCCAACAAAGGATCCCCCAGACAGGAAGCAGCCTGGCTTCAAAGCTTCAAGGTCATTAAATGCTAATTAAGGCGGCCAATTGCAACATCCACACATGCTTCAACAGACAAGAGTTCTTCCTCCCACCTTGCACATTCCACAGATACATAAACTCCACTTGCCTAGTTTCGAACAGACCTCTCAACCTCTGAGGATGCCTGGCATAGATATGGGCAAATGCTTCTGGAATATGGCCAGACAGCCCAGAAAATTCACAGCAACCCAGTGATTCCAACTATAAAAGCCTTCAAAAACACAATCCAAAAGTCACTGGCACCTCACTTGCTTGTTTTTTCTCCAGCAAGGCTGGAAATAAACATATCTAAGCCCATGTTTTTCGTCAGTTCTGCCAACCATTTATGCCAGCACCTTTCAAATGTGACTGGGTCGGGTCTTCTGTAATATTTCCAACTAAAATTCTTTCAAACTAGGGATGTCAGAGACCCAATCTGTCACCTTCCACACAGAATACATCACCCGGAAAGGGAATGACACCAATCCAGCGATAACTCAATAGATTTTGCTCAGTCATTCTGTCAGCTCCAGTGCAAGGGACACCACCGTTTTCAGGGTTAGAGGTTTTACAGAAGAGGCCTAGATCGACGGGTTGGCTACAAGTAGGAACCGAGACACAGGTCAATCATTCAGAGTTTGGCTCAGCCATTAACTTTACAGCCTTTTTGAAAACTTAATCTCACTCTCTGTTTTGGTCCATGATGCAGAACTTCCTACAAAACATCAATCCTGCTGACCTGTGTTCTCAACTGTCGCAAGGATCGGGAAAATATACGCAGAGTGTTTTTGAACACTAAGAATATACCCTGCTAATGTCACACACTCATTTTTACCTAGATAGTCAGGATACTCCCTCCAGCAACAATATAGTAATATATAATACTAATATTGTGATATGCTAATAATATAATATATTGGTATATACATGTAATATTGATAATATTATAATGTAATACAATATAATAAAACTACTAATAAAATATAATAATTGTATATTATATATTACAAGAAATATTACTAACAATATTGCAGTATTTTGGTTTAGTACACTATAGTAATATAATACTGATAATGTGTTATGCTAGCAATATAATATATTGTATCTACATATAATATTGATCATAATATAATGCAATACAATATGATACTAATAATAATACAATTATTATATATTATATATTACATGTTATATTACTAATAATATTGCATTATAGTAGTATAGTACAATATAGTAATATATAACACTAATACTGTGCTATGTTAATCTATATAAATAAAAAAGTAATGTTTGTTTGTGGGATTAACATAACTCTAAACTCATTGGACAAATTTACACCAAATTTGGACACAAGACACCTCTTTGGCCAACGAATGACCATCACTCATAAAAACACTGAAAAACACAGCAGAAGAGACTTAAAAAGCCAAAAAACAAAAAATAAATTACAACACATACGCAAAACCACATATATATATACAAACACACATATATACACATATACAAAAGATATACAGAAATATATACACACATATGCACAAACAAAACATATACACAGAAAGGGGTAAGAAGGAAGGAAGGAGAAAAGGAGGAGGGAAAGAAGGAGGGAAGGAGAGAAAGAAAGAAAGAAGGAAAGAAAGAAAGGTAGAGAAGGAAGGAAGGAGAGAAGGAAATAAAAAAGTGAAAGAGGGAAGGAAGGAAGGAGAGAAGGAAGAAAGGAAGAGGGAGGGAGGGAGGGAGGGAGGGAGGGAGGGAGGGAAGGAAGGAAGGAAGGAAGGAAGGAAGGAAGGAAGGAAGGAAGGAAGGAAGGAGAGAAGGAAGGGTGGAACCAAAGAGCAAAGGAAGCAAGAAAAGAAACAGGTAGAGAAGGAAGAAAGAAGAAGGGAAAGAAAAAGAAAGAAGGAATGGAAGAGGGAGGGAAGGAAGGAGAGAAATAAGGAGAGAAAGAGGGAGGGAAGATTGGCCACAGCAATACCTGGCAGGTACAGCTAATAATATAATATATTTTATATACATATAACTTGTAAGTCGCTCTAAGTCCCCTTTGAGGTGAGAGAGGGTGGGTATAAAAATAGAAAGTAAGTAAATAAATACTGTTTTGATCTAACTCTGCCAACAAAACAGTGGCACTGCAACGAGCATATTACAGGAAAAAAAATTGCATTTGTGATTGTGCATCTTCAAGTTGCCTCTGATTTATGGCGACCCTCAGATTTTTGTAGGCCAAGAGTGTGACTTGCCCATGGATGAAAGAGGATTTGAACCAAGTTTTCCAGAGCCTTAATCCAATACTGAATCCATTCCCGATATACATGTACATGTATTTTTTTTAAGCACCCTGATTCGTGAAAGAAAGATCTCCACACTGAGCCTCACTATTACATTTAGTGTAGCCTAATCATCTCTGTTTCCAAAGCGATTCCCACAAAGCATTCATTCCCCAAAGAAGCTGCTCCCTTTAATTTTTGAGAAATGCCATCCTACCAGTGCAGAATTCCTTGCTTGCCTGAGGCACAGTGATTCTTCGGTACACAATGGGCTCGGATTCCAAAATGTTCTCATCGTGGCGATAGCGGGCGGACCTCTCGTTTGGCGTGCCTCTGGAGCGGGTCCCACTTTTCCTCTCGAAGGTTTCAATCTCCTCAAACACAGCTGCCTTGTCAAAGAGGGCCAGGTTCCCTTCGAAATCAAAATCTGTGTCTGGGATTTCTTCGATGTCGTCCCCAAAGCATTCATCGTCTTTGTTCTTCATCGGCCCGTTCTTCACGCCACTCTTTTTTGGGGTCACTTGGTTTGGGTGGCGGCTGCTGGAGGACCCTGAAATGAAAGACATAGCAGATCAGTGGCTGGCGGAGACAGAAGATGGGGAAACTCAAAACCACCAGCTGCAACCCAGAAAATCTGGCACACTTTCCTTGGGACTTACCCATCTAGACACAAGGCTGCCTTCCATTTTTTACTTATATACAAACTGTGTGGAAAATGACGAGGGAATTATAACCATTGAGACCATTGGGAAGGAACTGTATTCATTAATCATTATTTACTAATAATATAATACAGTATATTGTACGTAAATATAATATTTATAATATTATAATGTAATATAATATAATACTAGTAATAACCATACAATATTATAATTATAATTATATATTTACATTACATGTAATATTACTAATAATATTACAATGTAATGGTATAGTGCAATATAGTAATATATAATACTGATATTGTACTATGCTAATAATATAATATATTGTATGAAAATATATCTTGTAAGCCGCTCTGAGTCCCCTTCGGGGTGAGAAGGGCAGCACATAAATGCCATAAATAAATAAAAATAATAATAAATTTGGACAAAGGACACCTCTCAGGCCAACGAGTGACCATCACTCATGAAAACACTAAAAATCACAGCAGAAGGGACTCAAAAAGCAAAAAATTAAAAAAAATACATTATAACACATGCGCAAAACCACATATATACACATATACACAAAAAGGAGCCCCTGGTGGTGCAGTGGGTTAAAGCACTGAGCTGCTGAGCTTGTTGATCGAAAGGTCGCAGGTTCGATTCCGGGGAGCGGCATGAGCTTCCGCTGTCAGCCCTAGCTTCTGCCAACCTAGCAGTTCGAAAACATGCAAATGTGAGTAGATCAATGTGAGTAGATCAATGTGAGTAGATCAATGTGAGTAGATCAATAGGTAGCGACGAAACCAAGAGGGGAGGACTAGGATTGCCAGACCTTCAGCTATACTATGACGCAGCGGCACTGGTTTGGGTTAAAGATTGGGCAGCGTTAAGTAACAACAGAATAATATCATTGAAAGGAGAAGACCTGAACAGAGACTGGCACAGTTATTTATGGAAAGGAAAGACTGCGGTGGAAAAAAAATTCAATAATCACTTTGTCAGAGGATCGCTGATAAAGGTTTGGAACAAATATAAAATGAGATGGTACACCAGGACACCGATGTGGTTGTCACCAAACGAGGCTGATCAAAGAAGAGAAATGTCAAATAAAAAATGGCTGACATACAAGCAACTGATCCACATAAACAATCATGAAATAAGAATTAAAACACTGGAGGAAATACAGCAAATAGAACCCAAATTTTCTTGGTTACAGTACTGGCAGGTCAACGAAAACTTTAAAGAAGATAAGAAAATAGGATTTGAACTAAAAGAAAACTTGTGGGATAAAATAATAAAAACAGAAACTAATAAAAAGACTGTATCAGCAATTGCTAATGTGGGCAACTGAGGAGGAGCAGGTAAAGGTAGTCATGATTAAGTGGGCTAAAATGATAGGACACACAATCACCATGTCAGAATGGGAGGAGGTATGGGCAAAGAAACGGAAATATGCGTACGCCACAGAGATAAAAAGAGAGCTGGGTAAAAATGTTCTACCTGTGGTACCAAACTCCAGAAAAATTAGCCAAGTACAGTAAGGGGAGGATTGATAAAACGTGCTGGAGATGCCAAAAGAAAGTGGGATCTTTTAAACACATGTGGGATTGTGGAGTCATTAGGGAATTCTGGTCGGAGGTTCATAGAAAAATGGAAGAGATTGTCCAATCTAAGTTCGAATTCAGACCAGAACATTTTTTGCTTGGAATGACTGACTAACTCTAAGTTGAACAAAAACGATGACAAGATCTTTTTTTACTTGACCACAGCAGTGAGAATAAGCATAGCATGTGTATGGAAGACCAAAGATACAGCAACTTTTAATTTGTGGATTAATAAGGCTATGGATATCATGAACATGGACTTGCTGACACAGAAAATAAGAAAAAATAGAACAAAAGCAGACAACACTGATTGGAGCAAGTTCATTAATTTTTTAGAGAAGAACAATCTTAAGTATTGTTAAAAACAGAAAGGAAAGAAGATTCCCGGAAGAGAAGACAAAATAGGTTAATTAGGAAAAGTGAGAAATGAAATCAACTATGTTCGCAAGGTATCCTGGAAGTTAAAGGGAATTTATATTTATATGTATATACGTATTTATTTATATGTATTTATGTGTCTAGTATGTGCAATGTTAGGGGGTAAAGGGGGGTGGGGGATGGGGCGGGGGTTAGATAAGTGGGCAGGGTAGGCAGGTAGATAAATAGACAGGGATAAATATGAATTAAGAACTTAGGAAATGTACATAAGAAAGTAATAGATATAGAAGGAAGTATTCAACCAATAATAATAGTAGCTCCTTTAATTTGTATTATGTATGTAAGGTATTTGTCGTGTTTTGTGTTTTGTCTTGTTTGTTTATCTGTTGGTGCTGTTCAAATCTTTTTCAATAAAAATTAAAAAAAAATAGGTACCGCTCCGGCGGGAAGGTAATGGCGCTCCATGCAGTTATGCTGGTCACATGACCTTGGAGGTGTCTACGGGCAATGCTGGCTCTTCGGCTTAGAAATGGAGATGAGCACCACACCCCAGAGTCAGACATGACTGGACTTAATGTCAGGGGACTACCTTTACCTTTACCTTACACAAATATATATACACACACACAAAACACATATACACAAACTGGGCCACAGCAATGTGTGGCAGGGGACGGCTAGTAATAGAATAAAATAATAAATAACCTTGACTCAAGTATAAGCCGGGGGGGGGGGGGTGTCAGCCTAAAAAAGGGGCTGAAAAACTCTGCTTATACTCGAGTAAAAAGGTAGGTAAAGGTAGTATATACAGTAAATTTATTTGCCTGGAATTCATTCTGCAGCCTTTGGTAAGCAAAGCATGTGCTCTATCCCTGCCCTCAAAAGCAGAAGTAGCTACCACGAAAGCTCCGGGTATGCCAGCAATCAACTCAATAGACTCTTTTACTAAACTGTGCGCTTTAGAGATTTTCAGAGTCATCTGCAAACACACTGTCTTCTACTTGTGCAGCAATTCCACACACACGCCGTCAGAAAAACAGCGAAGCAAAAGCCCTCGTGGTGACTAATTTCAAAAGGTTACATGCAGCCAACTTGCTTGGAGTTCAAATGCTGATTGAACAGAAAAATGTCACCGAAGCAGGGAAAACAATACTTGGAATGGCCTCTGTGGGCCCTCCATAGACATCCTGAACAGGAGCCAAGCCCCACCAAAGCTAAACACACTGGGATTGTCGGAGTCAGCCCTTTAATCCACCCCAGCCGCTGCCTGTTCTGAAATCTTGCTGACAGGCACTGCTGGCTTGGCTCTAAACATCGCTGCAACCCAGAATGACACCAACTGTATTACTTGGTCACCAGGACATGTCAAGCTGTGCCTCGAAAGGAGTGCTTCTGCTCCAAACGCATCTGTGCCATTGACTGAGCTGAGTTTGTCATGCCCAGGGGCACGTCTCCATTAATGTATGGACGCTTGTCCTCGCAAAAGGGGGAGCTTAGATGTAATTGGTCTCAGCCATGATAGGTAAAGGTTTCCCATGACATTAAGTCTAGTCATGTCCAACTCTGGGGCGTGGTGCTCATCTCCATTTCTAAGCTGAAGAGCCAGCGTTGTTGGTAGACACCTCCAAGATCATTTGGCCAGCATGACTGAATGGAGCGCTGTTACCTTTCCGCAGAAGGTTGACCTATTGACCTACTCACATTTGCATGTTTTCAAACTGCTAGGTTGGCCGAAGCTGGGGCTAAAAGTGCAGCTCACCCCACTCCCCAGATTTGAACTGCCAATCTTTCGGTCAGCAAATTCAGCAGCTCACCAGTTTAACCTGCTGTGCCAGCAGGGGGCCCTGGTGGTGCATGATACAAATGTGTTAAATGATGCATATTATGGAAGAGATACATAGGAATCACTCCCTAATTCTAGACTACATCATGGTTACTCCATTAGTTGTTTACACATAGCATCATTAAGCTATAAAAGCATCATTAAACTGAAAGGAGATTCCATTTGAACCTTAGGAAGAACTTCCTGACTGTGAGAGCTGTTCAGCAGTGGAACTCTCTGCCCCGGAGTGTGGTGGAGGCTCCTTCTTTGGAGGCTTTGAAACAGAGGCTAGACAGCCATCTGTTGGGGGTGCTTTGAATGCAATTGTCCTGCTTCTTGGCAGAAAGGGGTCGGACTGAATGGCCCTCGAGATCTCTTCCAACTCTAGGATTCATGTCACAAGATGCAGTGACAGTGACCAACCTGGGAAGTCTAACAGAATTCTTAGATTCCAGAGCCAACAATGCCAGCTAGTTGGGACAGTTATACACTATATCCAGTATCCAGATACTATCTTTCAGTATGCTGGGAAATGTTATGGAATAAAAGGTCTGAGAAGAAGTATGATATTGTTGAACTGGGTAGGCCTTCCATCTGATCTTGCAGGGCTCTTCTTCTGTTCTTAGGGTCAGATGTTTATTATTTATTTACTTACTTACTTACTATATTTCTATACTGCCCTTCTTAGCCCGAGGGCGACTCAGGTCAGTTTACAAAACCGGCACAATTCGATGCCACAATAATATAAACAGTTAAAAGCATATAAACATCAATAAAACTCCAAAAACAATAAAATCAATAAAACATAAATCCTCCGTATCTAATTTCCGTATCTAAAATCCGATTGCAATTGTCCAGCTGTTCCGAGGTCAAGTAATTATTTACTACATTGCATTTGAGAAAGCCTGCTCACAAAGCCAAGTTTTGACTTTTTTTTCGGAATGTTAGGAGAGCGGGAGCCGATCTAATATCTCTGGGGTAGCGGGAGCCAATCTAATATTCCTGGATGGTTCATAAGGAGAGATACGTTCGGACAGATACGCAGGGCCAGAACCATTTAGGGTATGTTGTAGTACGGAGAATCACTTGGCAGCCCACCAGGAGACCCTCCCTGAGAAAAGGTAAACAAGGGCTTCCAGATGAAGCCAGTCATCAGTTTTGAGCGACAGACCAAGTGGGCAGGGTGGCTCCGCATGAGGGCGGATTTCCTGCAAGACCTCTTTTCAAGGCTGCACTGCCAGCCTTTGCGTGAAAGAGCCGAGTGCCAGCCCAGCACGTATGCCATTGTTGCGTGACCTTATGAGGCCAGTTTTGTTTATCGATTCCTTTCACACTAGCATGATGAAGAGGCAAACGTGTCCCTATCCATTGCACGCAAACCTCAGGGCTTCTAAAGGACAATGGTGGGGCAATGCAGGAAAGCAAGAACCTCCAATAACAAGACGCAGCAACATTGCACGACAACCTCCTTGGGTTTCTCCATCCCCTTCTTTTCCCAAAGCTAACACCTCACTGTCCCCTTGACCTCTCATCTGAGACCCTAGCCTTGAGCAGGACATTCTCACAACACAGACATAGCCAAGAAACATTAACTGGTCTGATCTTTTGTTATTTATGTGATGTGGATATAGGAAAAACATGGTCCATGCACCCCATGTGGACCTGGACCCCACTTTTTTGGTCACTGAAGACTCCTGGCATTTTCTTTTAAAAAACAGTGTAATTCTGAGGCAAGTTTCATCCAAACATCACATAAAAAAACCCCAAACTAGCTGATAAGAAAAAGGGCATCCTAGGGATTCAGATAGTGTCGTGGAATGTAAATATAGCTAGAATGGGTGTGTCAAAGTATCTGAACACCTTTTAGCTCTATCGAGGAATTCGGAAAGTGAACGGAACACATTTATTTATTTGTTTATTTACTGTATTTATATGCCACTTTTCTCACCCCTGGGGGGACTCAAGGTGGTTTACAACAGTCTAATGGCAAATATTAAATGTCAATATACAGTACACAAAGAAATGATAATAACTAATTACTACATATAACTATGAACTTAAAATCAATTAAAACAATTAAACAGAAACATGAAGAGAAGGAAACAAGCAAGCGCCAATCCATCTACCAAAACAATTCAAAGTGCTGATGGTTCTGGCCCAGCTTACCTGTCCGAGCTTATCTCCCTCTATGACCCACCTCGAAGGCTAAGATCATCTGGGGAGGTCCTGCTCTAAATCCCACCTTCCTTGCAAGCACAAGTGGTGGGTACAAGAGACAGGGCCTTCTCAGTGGTGCCCCCTTGGCTATGGAACTTCCTCTCTAGTAAAATTAGAGCGGCCCCCTCCCTCCTGACCTTCAGGAAAAAAGTAAAAACGTGGTTACATGAGTAAGCTTTTGGATAGCAATGTTTAGTGGAATAAGAGAATAAGGAATTGTGACCAGACCAATAGAATGACTAGGAATTTGATTTTGGATGGCGTGATTTTAATAACTGTTTTTAAATTGTGTTGTTAACCGGTGGGTTTTAATATTTTTTTAATCTGATATTTATGTTCAAATGTCATTCTATATTTTATGTTTACACTATATACTCGAGTATAAGCCTAGTTTTTCAGCCCTTTTTTTAGGCTGAAAAAGTCTCCCTCGGCTTATATTCGAGTCAAGCTTATTTATTATTTTTATTATTGTTATTATTTTCATTTATTATTTTATTCTATTTATTATTATTACATTTATTATTTTACTGTATAATTGTTGTCATTGCTACATTCATTATTTTACTCTTTTTGTTATTATTATTACATTTATTATATTACTTTCTATTATTATTGGAAGGATACGTAAGCACCTTTACATTGAAGAAGGTAAATAATCATTTAATCAGAGTTGGATAGTCTTATCTTAAATTACCATTTTTGTAAATATTCAAAAATATATAACCTACTGATTTCTCAATTAATGTAATTGAATTGGTATCCATTTTTATTTACCAGTAGCAGCTGCATTTCCCACCCTAGGCTTACATTCGAGTCAATCCGTTTTCTCAGTTTTTTGGGGTAAAATTAGGTGCCTCAGCTTATATTTGGGTCGGCTTATACTCGAGTATATATTGTAATATGGTTAGGTTTCTAATTTATAGTTATATGTTATTGTCTAGTTATATCTTGTTTTTAATTGCTTGTTTTTATACTGTGGTTGTTTCACTTATTATATTGAATTTTTTTGCATTTTATATATTTTATTTTCAGGTATTGTTATGTTTTGATTTATAATGTATGTACTATATTGATGGGCGTGGCCTCATGTAAGCCGCTCTGAGTCCCCCTGGGGGAGATGGAGCAAGGTATAAATAAAGTTTTATTATTATTTATTATTATATGTCTTGGCTTTCACATGTATGTACAGCATTGGATTTTGCCATTATTATGTTGGAAACCGCTTTGAGTCCCCTCAGGGGGAGAAAAGCAGTATATAAATGCAGCAAATAAACAAATAAATAAACAAACCTTTCTAATAGTCCTGTTGCTAGTAAAATAGATTATTTAGACCTTCTCTGCTGTGAAGCCAGCTTTTAAGTCTGAGAAGCAATATGTTAGCAAAGAATAGCACACAAAATTCATAATTAAACACAGTAAGTATAATGAGATTCAGTGTGCGCAGCTTGGGCGAGCTATATAGAAGGATATTAAACCATATATCCATGGTTACCAATTATAACAGACATTAAAACACATTCATAACTTTTACTCACAATGACATTCAAATAAAAGGAACCACCGTTTGAAGCCCAATAAAAAAGATAATTACTGAGCACATCCACACCGCTCTAGCAACGTTATTGTCTCTGTAATATCAAACATTAACAGAAGGTTCCTGGCATTTCCCACTCAAGACTGAACACTTCTGCAAGCGTTTTGAAAATGAGCCCCTACACTTTGGTAAGGTCCATGGGCCTTTATGGCCAAGCAAATGACATCACAAAGGCCTCTTTGAACTTTCATGGATGACGCCTAAGATGTCTCCTAAGGACACAGGCTGAGCTTCATAGACAGCAAAAGGCAAAAGGTCCCGAAGACCAAAAGTAAAGCAATTATGTAATTGCAATAATGTATATTACGTCTTTGCTTAATTGCTACAACATTCAATAAATCTATATTTATGGAGGATGTAACCACCTCTAAAACTAGGACCCTAAGTGATTCTGGACGCTCTGAGCCCCTTCAGGGAGATGGTGGTGGGGTATGAATAAAATTATTATTATTATTATTATTATTATTATTATTATTATTATGACGACTACTACTACTACTACTACTACTACTATAGTCTACTGGCCCAACTGGGGATCTCTTAGAGAAATTTTGCAGCGTAAACAGAATTACACCATTCTCATAACAAAACCGAAGAAGCATGCCGTGCCGTCAAGATACTCACAGGAGTTATGCCTCCGACGGAAGCCTTTGGACTGGCTCAAGGATTCCATATGACGATCCACGTAGCTCTTAGAACAAAGGTGCTGCTGCGGGGAAATGGCAACATCCTGGCATTTTGTGTCCGTTCTCCTGGGGATATTTTGGGGGGCACTGCTCACAGGTTTCCTCAGCACTCTGCCTGTGCCGTTCTGGCTGGCGTCCCCTTGGCATCCAATGCTTAAAATACCACGGTCATTTTGTTGGAAATCTCCACATTGTCCATTATCATCTGCGCCCGGAATCTCCAGGATCTTCAGTTCTGCAATATCCCCGGCCCTGAAAACAGGAAGAGGCCCAAACAAGAGGTGTCATTTGTGGCAAAGCCTACTAGGATTGTCTGCACACCCCATTCTTCTCCGAAAATTCTATCATAGTTATATTTCACCTGGTCATGCTCAGTATTGTTTTTAAAATTTTAACTATTGCATTTGGCCCAGCCATAGATTTTTTAAACGTTGTTATGTTATTGTTGATGTTTACTAGATATTTTTTGTTTATGAGTTTTATTTTATTGTTTTGTATTACTGTTGTTGTTTTTTGCTGATGTATTGTGGGCCCAGCCTCATGTAAGCCGCACCGAGTCCCTTGGGGAGATGGTAGCAGGGTACAAATAAAGTTTTTTTATTATTATTATTATTACTTCTGCAGAAATGTATCACTTGCTCACTAACAGTCTAGCAGGTGAGAAAATGGTATTGTTGGAATTTAGAATCTGTAAATTCTAAATATAATGTTTGTTTGTGGGATTAACATAACTCAGGAACAATTGGACGAATTGACACGAAATTTTGACACAATACACCTAACAGTCCAACGAGTGTTCATCACCCCTAAAAATACAACCCCCACAACAAAACAGACTTAAAACCTCAAAAATACATTATATATACACACACACTCATATACATAAGCTGAGGCTTTTCGGAGCTATTTCGCAGACAAGATCTCTTTACTGCGCCGGGACATCCCACCACAATTGATACAGAGAGAGAACTTGAGACTCCGTGGCCACTTGTCAGGCCCATCCTCGACCGGTTTATCCCACTGGACGCGAAGGCTGTCAATAGGCTCATAGCTGCAGCTAGACCGACCACTTGCTCCCTCGATCCGTGTCCCTCCTGGTTGGTGAAATCCTGCTTGGAGGGATTACGTGACCCTCTGTTGAAGATCATAAACGGCTCCCTTGAGCAAGGAGTCTTTCCAGAGGGCTTAAAAGAGGCGGTGGTCTCTCCCCTGCTGAAGAAACCAGATTTAGATTGTTCGGTTCCCTCCAGTTGTCGCCCAGTCTCGACTCTTCCGTTTTTGGGCAAGGTGATTGAGAGGACAGCAGCGGAGTAGTTGCAGCAGTTCTTAGACGACACTGCTGGATTAGATCCCTTCCAGTCCGGCTTCTGTGTGGGGCACGGGACAGAGACTGTGTTAGTCTCCATCACGGATCACCTTCAATGCCAGCTTGACCAAGGCGGGTCGGCGCTGCTTGTTATTGGATCTCACAGCAGCATTTGACACAGTCGATTACAATCTTCTGATCCATCGCCTTGCTGTTGCTGGAGTCAGGGGACAGCTTTAAATTGGCTGTCCTCCTTTCTTCATAACCATGGACAGCGAGTGGAGAGGGGAGGCCTGGTCTCTGAGAGGTCCCCTCTATCTTGTGGGGTTCCTCAGGGGGCCATTCTCTCCCCTCTGTTGTTTAACATCTATATGCGACCACTTGCTCAGCTGGTTCGAGGTTTTGGGCTTGAGTGTTACCAGTATGCTGATGACACTCAGCTTATGTTGAAGATGGAAGGCCGACCGGACTCTGTACCCGATAATTTTCATCAATGCCTTGAGGCTGTTACTAGATGGCTGCGTGCCAGCAGGTTGAGGGTAAACCCGGCAAAGACAGAGATCCTATGGCGGGGTCAACCAGGCAGTGGGGATATCCAGCTGCCTACCATGGATGGCGAGGTGCTATGCCCGTCATCATTGGTAAAGAGTCTGGGAGTCCTTTTGGACCCTCTGCTGACGATGGAGGCCCAGGTCTCCGCCATGAGCAGAACCGCCTTTTTTCACCTGCGGCAGGCTAGATGGCTGGCCCCCTCTCTGTCCAGGGACGACCTAGTTATGGTGATCCAGGCCACAGTCATCTCAAGACTGGACTACTGTAACGCCCTCTACATTGGCCTTCCTCTGTCGGTGATCTGGAAGCTCAAGTTGGTACAAAATGCAGCTGCTCGGCTTCTTGCGGGAATTCCGATGAGATGCCACATAACACCAATCTTACTGCAGCTGCATTGGTTACCAATTGAGCACCGGATCACTTTCAAAGTGATGGTACTTACCTTTAAGGCCTTGCATGGTCTGGGGCCGATGTACCTGAGGGACCGCCTCACCCCCTACCAACCCCAGAGATCCCTCCATTCTGAGGACCAAGATCTATTGGAAATTCCCAGTGTCAAGACCTTGCGTCTAACAGCAACTAGACGCAGAGCCTTTACAGTAGTGGTACTATCGCTCTGGAACACTCTGCCACCAGAAGTTCGTGCCTTGCGGGACTTATCAGCCTTCCGCAGGGCTTGTAAGACATATTTGTTTCAACAGGCTTTTGACCTTTGATCTGTTGTTTTTAATTTGTGTTAGATTCCAGTTTGTTTTGTAAGCCGCTCCGAGCCCTAGGGGAGTGGAGGCATATAAGTTTGAAAAATAAATAACTAAATAAATAATTAAACACATGCACACATACATACACACACATATATATATATAACCAAGCACACACAAATATACACACACATACATCTGCATACACACATATATACATACACACATACACACACACACATATAAACACAAATATGCATATAGACAAGCACACACATATACACAATATATATACACACATATAAACACAAATATATACACACATATATACACATCTACACACATACATGCACACATACACACACACACACATATATATACACAGATACACAAATATACACAGATACACAAATATACACACATATAAACTATATATATACACACACAAATCCATATATACAGACAGGGCCACAGCAATGTGTGGCAGAGGAAAGCTAGTAATAAAATAAAACTTTATTTATATACCGCTCTATCCCCCGGGGGGGGGGGGGGGGACTCAGAGCAGTTTCCAAGTAACATCATCAATACACATGGAGTAAAGAACATAACGATAAGATTAAGAAAACAATAAAAGCATAAAAATTGTTGCCATACCACATATATATTAAAAGTAATCCTGCCTGTTCAAGGGAATTTAAAAGGCCGGTCCAAGATTAGTGCAAGCTCAAAAATTCTAAGGGGCCCGGGAATTAAATGCAGTGCTATAGCAGGGTCTATGGCTGTTCATTTCCGGGGTCGATTAGAGGAAATGTTCTGGGTAATTGGTAGGAAGAATAAGGCCATATTCAGCAATGTCTAGGGCTGAGCTAGAACTAGTCATTCTCAAAGGCTTGTTGAAACCACTAGGTCTTCAAGTTCTTACTAAAGGAGGGGAGGGGCGGGGCCTGTCTAATTTCCCTGGGGAGGGTGTTCCAAAGGCGGGGGGCCACCACTAAGAAGGCCCTCTCTTTTGTCCCCACCAACCGTACTTGAGACGGTAGTGGGAGCGAAAGGAGGGCCTCCCCGGAAGATCTTAAAAGTTTGCAAAATAGGGATGCTATTGTTGTTGTTCATTCGTTCAGTCGTTTCTGACTCTTCGTGACCTCATGGACCATTCCATGCCAGAGCTCCCTGTCGGCCGTCACCACCCCCAGCTCCTTCAAGGTCAAGGATAGTCACTTCAAGAATACCATCCATCCATCTTGCCCTTGGTCGGCCCCTCTTCCTTTTTCCTTCCATTTTCCCCCAGCATCACTGTCTTCTCTAAGCTTTCCTTTCTCCTCATGATGTGGCCAAAGTACTTCATCTTGGCCTCTACTATCCTTCCCTCCAATGAGCAGTCAGGCTTTATTTCTTGAAGTATGGACTGGTTGGATCTTCTGGCGGTCGAAGGCACTCTCAGAATTTTCCTCCAACACCACAGTTCAAAAACATCTCTCTTCCTTCGCTCAGCCTTCCTTCTGGTCCAGCTCTCACATCCATAGGTGACTACGGGGAAGACCATTGCTTTAACTATGTGGATCTTTGTTGCCAGTGTGATGTCTCTACTCTTCACTATTTTATCGAGACTGGCCATTGCTCTCCTCCCAAGAAGGAAGCATCTCCTGATTATCTGGCCTCAGTCTGCGTCTGCAGTCATCTTTGCACCTAAAAATACAAAGTCTGTCACGGCCTCCACCTTTTCCCTCTATTTCCCAGTTGTCAATCATTCTTGTTGCCATCATCTGATGTTTAACTGCAACCCAGCTTTTGCACTTTCTTCTTTCACCTTGGATAGAAGGCACCTCAGCTCCTCCTTGCTTTCGGCCATCAAAGTGGTGTCATCTGCATATCTAAGGTTGTTAATGTTTCTTCCAGCCATTTTTACCCCAGCCTTGCATTCGTTAAGCCCCTCACATCGCATGCTGTGTTCTGCATACAAGTTGAATAGGTTGGGTAAGAGTAGACAGCCCTGCCGTGCGCCTTTCCCAATCTTGAACCCGTCTGTTGTTCCATGGTCAGTTCTGACTGTTACTACTTGATCCTTTATACAGATTCCTCAGGAGAGAGACAAGGTGATTTGGGATGCCCATACCACCAAGAACTTGCCACAATTTATGATGATCCACACAGTCAAAGGCTTTAGAGTAGTCAATAAAACAGAAATAGATGTTTTTCTGACACTCCTTGCCTTTCTCCATTATCCAGCATCCGGATATTGGCACTGGGGTCTCTAGTTCCTCTGCCTTTTCTAAACCCAGCTTGTCCATCTGGCAACTCTCTCTCCATGGCTTGCTGGAGTCTTCCTTGCAGGATCTTGAGATGATGATGAGGGATGCTATATTTATTTTAATATGTATACATTATTTTAGTAGTATGCATTATTTTAGTAGTTATACATTATTTTAAGACTCTCTCTCTCATCCTCGCCAACCGTACACTTCAGTTACGCAGCAAGTAAATATAAAACCAAACCAAATAAAAGGCCGAAGTCAAAACATTCTCATAAATATGGGTTTACCATTGTGGCAATCATTACACACAAACAGTTCTCAAAGTAGCTAATGCTTTGGGAGACAATGACAGGGCATTTGGACAACGGAGCCAGTTCAGCAGAGTTGATGGCGGAAGATCATCGCTTCTATGTTCATAGTCTTTGCTTCTTCCAGCACGCTGACATTTGTCCGTCTGTCTTTCCAAGAGATTTGCAGGATTTTTTGGAGGAAACGCTGATGGAATCGTTCCAGAAGTTAAGTGTGACGCCTGTAGATGGTCCACGTTTCGCAGGTGTATAACAGGGTTGAGAGGACAAAAACCTTGGTATCCCTACGAACATCACGATCCTCAAACACTCTCTGCTTCATGCAGAAAAATGCTGCACTAGAAGAAGTTTCCCTGTCAAAGGCTTAAGGAAGGAGGCAGAAGGAGCATTTACCTGAAGGTGACTTCGGGTACCAAGCACTTGACTCCATTATGGAAAGGCCGTGTTAAGGAGATGGTCTGGCTGACTTGATCCACAGCAGACACTCTTCCTTGATAGACGCCCAGGCTTTCTCCGCAGTTGATGGAGACAACACTTCCAAGCCAATCTGCAGCCATAGCTTCCTTGATCACTGTAAGAAGAAAATGCTGTCAATGGAATGGGACACTAAAAAACTTCATGTATTGTGATAGCCCCACATCACTCTACAGACCATCCTCCACATTTGCTTGGGTTAGGAGTGTAGGACCCCAGTAAAATTGGAAAAACACAGTATGATTATTAGGAAATAATAATGAAAATAATAATATTAGAAAGGCATGGGATAAATGGATAAGGCTATAATCGACCCATTTTTCCTTTTAAATCTCAGGTTTAAATAATAATAATAACAACAACAACCACCACCTTTGGGATAAATAGGGGACACTATCACCAACCCACTGTCCTTTTAAATGCCAGGTTTAAATAATAATAATAATAATAATAATAATAATAATAATAATAATGGCAATAAAACCTTTGGGCTCAATGGGGGATGCTATCACCAACCCATTTTTCTTTTTCAATGCCAGGTTTAAATGATGATGATGATGATGATGATGATGATAATGATGGCAATAAAACCTTTGGGCTCAATGGGGGACACTATCAACAACCCATTTATCCTTTTCAATGCCAGGTTTAAATAATGATGATGATGGCAATAGAACCTTTGGGCTCAATGGGGGACACTATCAACAACCCATTTTCCCTTTTCAATGCCAGGTTTAAATAATAATAATAACCACAACAACATTAATAATTATAATAATGACAATAAAACTTTTGGGCTAAATGAGTGAGGCTTTCACCAACAGATTTTTCCTTTTAAATTCCAGATTTAAATAATAATAATAGTAGAATCATAGGGTTGGAAGAGACCTCGTGGACCATCAAGTCCAACCCCATTCTGCCAAGAAGCAGGAAAATTGCAGTCAAAGCACCCCCGACAGATGGCCACCCAGCCTCTGTTTTAACTCTTCCAAAGAAGGAGCCTCCACCACACTCCGGGGCAGGGAGTTCCACTGCTGAATAGCTCTCAGTCAGGAAGTTCTTGCTCATGTTTAGGGGTTTATTATAGTTATTATGTTATAATTATAATATTATATTATTATTGTTATTATTATGTTATAATAATAATGGCAATAAAACCTTTGGATTAATGGGTATGCCTGGCCTCCCTAGACACACTAATGCAGGCCTGGGCAAACTTGAGCCCTCCATCCGAGTGTTTAGGACTTCAACTCTCTCCATTCCTAACAGCCAGGAGGAACTAATGTCTGAACTAATGACTATTATTATTATTACTTTACTGACACAAAAGCACAGTATGTCACAGCAAAAAAGATCTCTATGCTGGATTTTATATCACAAAAAATCACAAGTTGAACCCTTCCCAAGCGTCTAGGACTGTGTGATGTATTTTCGAATGATGCGCGCAGATCCAAATCAGGCGGCCTTTTGCAGTTGACAGATTGTGATTTTGTCAATGTTTATTGTTTCCAAATGCCGGCTGAGATATTTTGGCATGGCACCCAGTGCACCCATTATTATCACTGGGACCACCTGGACTGGTTTATGCCAGAGCCTTATAATAATATTATAATTATTATAAATATATAGTATTTATATATTAATATATAATATTAATATAATTAGAAAATGTGGACCATTTCTGCTTCCTTGGCAGTCACCTCTCCACAAAAGTCAACATTGAGACTGAAATACAACACCGCCTGAGCTCTGCAAGTGCAGCAGTTTTTCTGAAGCAGAGAGTGTTTGAGGACCGGGACATCTGTAGACCAAGAGGCCTGTTTATAAAGCCATTGTCCTCCCAACCCTGCTATACGCCTGCGAGACGTGGACTGTCTACAAACATCAACATTGAGACTGAAATACAACACCGCCTGAGCTCTGAGAGTGCAGCATTCTTCCGAACGAAGCAGAGAGTCTTTGAGGACATCCGTAGGGATACCAACGTGCTTGTTTACAAAGCTATTCTCCTCCCAACCCTGCTATATGCCTGTGAAACGTGGACTGTCTACAGACGTCACATGCAATTCCTGGAACGATTCCATCAGTGCTGCCTCCAGAAAATCCTACAAATCTCTTGGGAAGACAAGCAGACAAATGTCAGCCGGCTGGAAGAAGCCAAGACCACCAGCATTGAAGCGATGCTCCTCCACCATCAACTCTGCTGGACTGGCCACGTTGTCCGGATGCCTGACCACCGTCTCCCAAAGCAGTTGCTCTACTCCGAACTCAAGAACAGAAAACGGAATGCTGGCGGGCAGGAAAAGAGATTGAAATATGGGCTCAAAGCCAACCTGGCATAGACACTGAGAATTGGGAAGCCCTGGCCCCTGAGCGGTTCAGCTGGAGGTCAGCTGTGACCAGCAGTGCTGCAGAATTTGAAGAGGCACAAATGGAGGGCGAAAGAGAGAAACGTGCCAAGAGGATGGCACGTCAAGCCAACCCCGACCGGGACCGCCTTCCACCTGGAAACCGATGCCCTCACTGCGGGAGAATATGCGGATCAAGAATAGGGCTCCACAGTTACCTACGGACACAACGCCAGGACACCGATCTTGGAGGACCATCATCGGACTATGAGGGGTCACCTAAGTAAGTAGCAGTTGACAGCAGTTGGCAGTTGATTTTGGCAATGTTTATTGTTTCCAAATGCCGGCTGAGATCTTTGGGCACGGCACCCAGTGAGCCAATGACTACAGAGACCACCTGGACTGGTTGATGCCAGAGCCTTATAATAATATTATAATTATTATAAATATATAATACTAATATAATATCATGCGGTGTGTGGGGCTTGATGAATGCAAAGCTGGGGTGAAAATTGCTGGAAGAAATATTAACAACCTCAGATATGCAGATGACACCACTCTGATGGCCGAAAGCGAGGAGGAGCTGAGGAGCCTTGTAATCAAGGTGAAAGAAGAAAGCACAAAAGCCAGGTTGCAGCTAAACATAAAAAAACTAAGATTTTAGCAACAAGAATGATTGACAACTGGAAAATAGAGGGAGAAAATGTGGAGGCCGTGACAGACTTTGTATTTCTAGGTGCAAAGATTACTGCAGATGCAGACTGTGGCCAGGAAATCAGGAGACGCTTACTTCTTGGGAGGAGAGCAATGTCCAGTCTCGATAAAATAGTAAAGAGTAAAGACATCAGACTAGCAACAAAGATCCGCATAGTCAAAGCCATGGTATTCCCTGTAGTCACCTACAGATGTGAGAGCTGGACCTTAGGGAAGGCTGAGCGAAGGAAGATAGATGCTTTTGAACTGTGGTGTTGGAGGAGAGTTCTGAGAGTGCCTTGGACTGCGAGAAGATCCAACCAGTCCATCCTCCAGGAAATAAAGCCCGGCTGCTCATTAGAGGGAAGGATACTAGAGACAAAGTTGAAGATTTTGGCCACATCATGAGGAGACAGCAAAGCCTGGGGAAGACAATGATGCTGGGGAAAGTGGAAGGCAGGCATGTAGCCGAGATGCAGAGCCAACCTTCAGAAATGGGACCACAAAGTGGAATCCACGACATGCGAGTGTGGAGAAGAGCAAACTACAGACCACCTGCTGCAATGCAACCTGAGCCTTGCTATAGGCACAATGGAGGACCTTCTTGCAGCAACACCAGAGGCACTCCAAGTAGCCAGATACTGGTCAAAGGACATTTAACCAGCTACCAAACTCACAAGTTGTGTATTTTTCTGTTTGTTTGCTTTGTTCTGTTAGAAATGTAATATAATGGACTGGCTGCTCTGACACGACAAATAAATAAATAAAATATTATATATTGCCTCCCCCATTTAGCCAAAAGTTTGCAAACTTTTGGCTAAATGGGGGAGGCAGGGGAGGTCACTCAATCTCCTTCCTTTCACAACGAAAGGCCTGATCCGGCTGGGGCGAGGCCGAGAAGACCCCGGGCAGTCCTTCCCGGGGGAAAGGAGGCCTCCTCCCCGCCCCAAAGGCTCCCAGAATGGAAGAGAAGGCCCCCAAGCCCTCCCTCGGCCTGCTCCCTACTCTAGGCCGGGGATAAGGCGCCGAGCAGGCCCAAAAGCGGCTCACTCACTCACTGACTCGCTTCTCCCTCCGCTTTTCCTCACAGCGTCTTCACACCGGAAGCACCAAGCCATTGCCCCGCTCTTCTGCGTCACTTCCGCTTCTCCTTCTCTCAGCGCTCACGCAGGCGCAGAAAGGACGCGGCACGCCTTTCCTTCTCCAGAGGCGAAGGTGCCACTCGCAACACGCATGCGCAGAAAGCCTGCTCGGCCCCTGGCAGCGACTGACTATTGAACTACAACTCCCATCAGCCCCAGCCGTTGCGACCCATGGTGTGGCATCATGGGGGTTGGAGTTCAACGCTTCCTTCTTGGTGTTAGAGGAGTAATATCCTATCTGCAACCAGAGCAACCCCTGAATTGATCGGAAACACCTTGAAAAGTTCCAGAGTCGAGGGCCAATCATCATGATCGATCATGATTATCAGTTATTAATTATTAATTATAGTAAAGTGCTTTACTAATAATACAATATAATATATTGTATATATATAATGTTTATATTATAATGTAATACAATACAGTAGTAATAAGTATTAATTATAATGAGATTAAAGTGCTTTACTAATAATATACTGTATATGCATATAATATTTATAATATAATGTAATACAATATAATACTAATAATTATTAATTATAATTATATTAAAGTGCTTTACTATATACTGGATATGCAGATATAATTCTAATACTTATTATAATTATATTAAAGTGCTTTACTAATAATGTAATATATTGTATATACATATAATATTTATAATATTATAATGTAATACAATATAATACTAATAATTATTAATTATAATGATATTAAAGTGCTTTACTAATAATGTAATATATTGTATATACATATAATTTTTATAATATAATGTAATGCAATATAATACTAATAATTACTAATTATAATTATATTAAAGTGCTTTACTAATAATGTAATATATTGTATATACATATTTTATAATATGATAATGTAATACAATATAATACTAATAATTACTAATTATAATTATATTAAAGTGCATTATTAATAATAATATATAATATATTGTGTATACATATAATATTTATAATATGATAATGTAATACAATATAATACTAATAATTATTAATTATAATTATATTAAAGTGCTTTACTAATAATATAATATATTGTATATACATATACTATTTATTATATAATACAATACAATATAATATAATAATAATACATTATTATATTTTATATTACATGTAAAATTACTAATAATATTACAATATAATGGTATAGTACAATGTAGTAATATATAATATTGATACTGTGCTATGCTAATATATTGTATGTATATGTATCTTGTAAGCTGCTCTAATATACATCTTTATTTATTTATATTTTATATAATATAAACATAAAATAAAACATTATATATATTGTAATATAAACATAAAATAACCCATAATAATATATAATATAAATATTTATTTATTTATTTATGACATTTATATGCTGCCCTTCTCACCCCTTTGGGCATATAAATATAGTAAATAAATAAATAAATATATTATATTATATATTATTATGTTTTATTTTATGTTTATATTATATGCTTTATTTTATGTTTATTTTATATTATGTATATATTTTGATTTATATTATATATTATGGTGATATTGTCCTTTTATTTTTAAAGCATCATGGACTGCTGCAGCCATAGAAATACAGCAGGCTCTCAGTTAACCGGCATCTGTGGTGGAGACTGGACAAATATTGTTTCTGGTTGCTTGAGAGTTGCTTATAAAATAGACCTAATACTATACCATCGGATAAACTCTGTATTGACTTGATGTTAATATTGAATGTGGATGTGGCTCTTAACGAGACATGCATTATCACAAATGTAAACATGAGTCCTCAGTAAGATAGAAAGCCATTTTTATTTATTTTATTTACAGCATTTATATACCGCTTTTCTCACCCCTAGGGGGACTTAATACTTTTTATTAATATCTCAACAATATTCATAATGCCTTACATATAACTCTGGCTTCATGGAGGCTGATTATATATATATATATATATATACACACACACACACACACACACACATACACAGAAGTGTCTTGCTTATCCAACCTTTGCTCATCCAACGTTTTGTCTTATCCAACGCAGTCTACCTTCCACCCGGAATAATGTCCAGGGTGGGACATTATTGTGTGTTTTGGTGCTAAATTTGTAAATACCACAATTTCTACATAATGTTGCCATGTACTGAACTGCTTTTTCTGTTGATTTGTTGTAAACCAGGATGTTTTGGTGCTCAGTTTGTAAAATTATAATGTAATCATAACGTATTGTCGAAGGCTTTCATGGCCGGAATCACTGGGTTGTTGTAGGGTTTTTTGGGCTATATGGCCATGGTCTGGAGGCACTCTCTCCTGATGTTTCACCTGCATCACCTTGATTAGCATATAATGGCCTGAAAGTTTGCTCTAGGCACTGTCGGGCATTTATATGCTAATCAAGGTGATCAGTTGAAACATTCACACCTAGCTCCAGCAGACAAGGGTCCTTTGTCCCACCTTGGTCATTCCACAGATATATAAACCCTTTTTCCTAGTTCCAAAACACCTCAGTACCTCTGAGGATGCTTGCCGTAGATGCAGGCGAAACGTCAGGAGAGAATGCCTCCAGACCATGGCCATATAGTCCGAAAAAACCTACAACAACCTAATCATAACGTAATTTGACGTTCAATAGGCTTTTCCTTAATCCCTCCTTATTATCCAACTTTTCTGCTTATCCAACATTCCGCCGGCCCGTATAAGCAAGACTCTTCTGTGTATATCTATAGACAGACAGCAATAGGAGAGATATATCAAAACAATTGCATCAAAATTCTTGGCAATGACAATAGCATTTGAGGAAGGATTTCAAAAGGGAAAGAGCGTCGAAACTATATAAAGCACTCCAGATATCATTGGGCCATATAACAGAGCCCATTATTCCTGTAAGCAGGGGTCGGTGGGAATATGTGTGTATATGTGTATAAGTCTGCATATATATGTGTGTGTGTGGATGTGTGTGTGTGTGTGGTTTTGCGCATGCGTTGTAAGTTTTGTTTTTTGGCTTTTGAAGTTTCTTCTGTTGTGTTTTTCAGTGTTTATATGAGTGATGGTCACTTGTTGGCCTGATTGGTGTATTGTGTCCAAATTTGGTGTCAATTCGTCAAGAGGTTTTTTAGTTAGTTAATCCCACAAACAAACATTACATTTATATATACAAGCTAATGATAACACCAGAAAGCATTTTTAAAATTATCTCTTTTGTAAAAACTGAACATTGGATTAAAAGAGTTTAAATAGTGAAAATGAGACAAAGGATAACATAAAATGAAGCCATGTTCTTCTCTTTCTATTAAAAAGAAAGCAGAACCTGAGCCTTGTTGGAAAAAGTTAAATGAATATTTGATTAATTTTATTTAAACCTCCCATTTCCTCATTTTATTTACCACTAGCTGTCCCCTGCCACTCGTTGCTGTGGCCCAGTCTGTGTATATGTGTTTTCTGTGTGTATATATGTGGTTTTGTGCATGCATCGTAATGTATTTTTATTTTTGGCTTTTTAAGTCTCTTCTGCTGTATTTTTCAATGTTTTTATAAGTGATGGTCAGTTGCTGGCCTAATAGATGTATTGTGTCCAAATTTGATGTCAATTCGCCCAGTGGTTTTTGAGTTATGTTAATCCCACAAACGAACATTTTATATATATATATATATATATATATACACACACACACACACACACACACACACACACACACTAGTCATCCCCTGCCACGCGTTGCTGTGGCCCAGCCTGTGTATATGTGTTTTTTGTGTATATATATATGTGTGTATATGTGTGCATGTGTCTGTGTGTATGTATGTATGTATGTATGTGTGTGTATGGTTTTGCGCATGCGTTGTAATGTGATTTTTTTGTTTTTTGGCTTTTTTAGTCTCTTTTGCTGTGTTTTTCGGTGTTTTATGAGTGATGGTCACTCGTTGGCCTGAGAGGTGCATTGTGTCCAAATTCGGTGTCAATTCGTCCAGTGGTTTTAGAGTTATGTTAATCCCACAAACAAACATTACCTTTTTATTTATATAGATGTGTGTGTGTGTGTATGATGGAAGGTTTTCATGAGAGATGTTGTATCCTCATACATTGTGTTATTATAATGTATCTGTGTCCGTGTCTCTTCGAAGGGGCTAATTCAGGCATGGGCAAGCTTCGGTCCACCACCAATCTCATGATCTATTGCTGAATAATGTTGGCTGCTAGGACACCTCATCCCTATCCATAAGGCACTGTTGAAGCTTCAACAAATGTTTTGGGCACCTAGGTGCTTGCTAATCAACCATCTTAAGGCGAAACCCATATGCCAAAGTTGAAATCCTCAATCCATATCTACTAGACAAACTTGAGCTCAAAGTCTTGTCCGTATAAGCAACAAGAGGCTTCCCAACCTCTGCTTCCAATTATTCAAAGTAACTTTATGTGCATCTGCAATGGTTCACCACATCAGAGTTCCACTTTGTATTGCAACTGCAAATGATGTGATGTCGTGTTAGTCTTTGCACTGAATGCCTCAGCTTGCCCCAGGCAACCCGTTCACTCCAAGGTAAATGATGGCCTCCCCGTTCCCAGCCCGATGTCTGCCAATGTCTACTTTTAGAAACGGGTCTTGATCTGGAAGTGCTCACACCTCTTGAACTTCATGCTGAGTCCGTACTGAGGAGTGAAATCCACCTCTTTCCCGGGGCATATGCTGAACTCCAGCTTCTGGACCAAAGTGGTTAAGAAGAGGAAGATCTCGCATCTGCCGATGTTTTCCCCAAGGCACCTCCTTCTCCCTAAGCCGAAGGTCAGGATCTTCTCGCTCTCGGTTCGGTTTATTCTGGACCCGTTTGCAGCCAGAAAGCGCCCTGGGTTGAAAACAGAAGGGTCTTTCCAAAGTTTCCTGGGAAAAAAGGGGGACAACACAGTCGCCAGTCACTTTCGAGTGCCATTATTGAGGAAAAGATGGGAAATAAATGAATAAAATCATCATCGCAATCATCTTAATCATCCTGCACTCATTTTAAATCGTAATGTTCTGTGTCTTCCAGTAACTTCCAACTTGAGCCACAAGAAAAGGCAGGTAAGAAATAAATAATAATAATAATAATAATAATAATAATAATAATAATAATAATAATCAAGAAGATTGTGCAGACAGACTACAAGCAGAGGCACAACACTGTTGCTCAGATGATCCATTGGAACTTGTGCCACAAATACTATCTGCCTGCGACAAAGAACTGGTGGGATCACAAGCTGTAAAAAGTTACAGAGAATGAACACGTCAAGCTATTCTGGGACTTCTGGATTCAGACAGACAGAGTTTTGGAGCATAAGACTCCTGACCTCACAATTGTGTTAAAAAACAAAGTATGGATCGTTGATGTCGCAATCCCAGGTGAAAGCAGGATTGCAGAGAAACAACTGGAAAAGCTGACATGACATGAGGATTTAATGATCAAATTGCAAAGACTCTGGCACAAGCCAGTCAAGGGGTCCCAGTGGTGATCGGCACACTGGGTGCATTGCCTAAAGACCTTGGCCTGCACTTAAACACAATCAGCACTGACAAAATCACCATCTGCCAGCTGCAGAAGGCCACTTTACTGGGATCTGGGATCCCAGTAAGGGATAGTTATTATTATTTGAAACACAACAAGATGAGTCCACAGCAGACAAGATCACTCTGCTGGCTGTTGTATTGGATCACACGTTGGGCCCTTCCCAAGTGTTTAGGACTGTGTGATATATTGGCGAATAATGTGTGCAGATCCCAGTAAGGTGGCCTTCTGCAACTGACAGATGGTAATTTTGTCAGCGCCGATTGTGTTTAAGTGCAGGCCAAGGTCTTGAGGCACTGCACCCAGTGTGCTGATCACCACAGGGACCCCTTGATGCACACAGATCCAAGTCAGGTGGCCTTTTGCAGTTGACAGGCCGTGATTTTGTCAATGTTTATGCAAAGGCCCTGGCATAAACCAGTACAGGTGGTCCCAGTGGTCATTGGCACACTGGCTGCCGTGCCAAAAGAGCTGGCATTTGGAAATAATAAACATTATTATTATTATTATTATTATTATTATTGACACAAAAGCACCGTATGTCACAGCAAACAAGATCTCTGTGCTGGATTTCGTATCACAAAATTACAAGTCGAACCCTTCCCAAGTGTCTAGGACTGTGTGATGTATTTTCGAATGATGCGCGCAGATCCAAGTATGGTTGCCTTTTGCAGTTGACAGATCGTGATTTTGTCCATGTTTATTGTTTCCAAATGCCGGCTGAGATCGTTTGGCATGGCACCCAGTGTGCTGGTAACCACTGGGACCACCTAGACTGGTTGATGCCATCAGAGCCTTTGCAGTTCGATTTTGAGGTCTTGATAGCGGCTGAGTTTTTCCTGTTGTGACTGTCACCTGGTATGGCAACATCAATCATCCAGACTTTTTTCTTTTCCACAATCGTGATGTCTGGTGTATTGTGTTCCAAAACTTTGTCAGTCTGGATTCGAAAGTCCCATAGTATTTTTGCATGTTCATTTTCCACAACCTTTGTGGGTTTATGATCCCTTTACCAGGTCTTGACTCCTGTCAGGTGGTCCTTGTGACATAAGTTCCAGTTAATCATCTGGGCCACAGAGTTGTGCCTTTGTTTGTAATTCCTCTGTGTGATTTTCTTGCAACAGCTGAGGAGATGGTCCATGGTTTCATTCACTTCCTTGCACAGTCTGCATTTTGGGTCATCCGCTAATTTTTCAATCCTGGCCTTAATGGCCTTTGTTCTGATGGCTTGTTCCTGGGCTGCAAGAATCAGGCCTTCTTCTGTCTCCTTCTTTAGGGTTCCGTTCTTGAGCCATCACCAGGTCTTCTCCTTGTAAACTTTTCCTTCAATCTTCTCAAGGAACTGCCCATGCCATGCTTTGTTGTGCCAGCTGTCAGCTCTGGTTGTTGTTGTTGTTGTTGTTGTTGTTGTTGTTAGAAACACAACAAGATGAGTCCACAACAGACAAGATCACTCTGCTGGCTGTTGTATTGGATCACATGTCGGAATTATTATTATTATTATTATTATTATTATTATTATTATTATTATTATTGTGATCCTGTTACCGGGCAGGAATTATTATGAAGAGATTTGCCACGGAGTTCTTCCAATGTTGAAAGAATGTGAGTTGCCCAAGTCCCAGTGGGTTTTCGTGGCCAAGTAGTAATTTGAACCCAGATCTCCCAAATTCCTAATCTGGGAATTCTACAGATCCAGATTGATCTTGCAAGCTAAGAGATTCATGCCTGGTTACTCCTTGGAAGACTGACAAGGAGTTACAAATACTCTCAACTATATTTCAGAGGAAGGAACTGGTAAAGATGTTTCCAAATATCCCTTGCGTAAGAAAAGTCCTAGTGAAATTCATGGGGTTGCCATCAATCAATTAAGATGTGCAGACCACACCTTAAGTTCTCTTATTGGGAGAAAGGTGGCATTTCTGAGTACCAATGTCATTATTAATAAACTTTTGAGGAGTAGCTTTCCAAACTCACAAGCGGACTCTCCAGGGATACTTACGGATCGTGGTTGACTTGCCACTGGTTGACAAATACACAAGTGTCTTTAGGGATGTAGAAGCCGTTCAGTGCCGTATCCTTCATTGTGCTGCAAAGAGGGAGGAAATGCATAGTATTTGCAAAGTAGTATTTGCACAACGACAGCAAACAACTGGTTCTTATTTTAGGAAGTTAGTTTGAGCAAGAAAAAAGGTCTTCGCTGTAACCATTGCGTATTAAAACTTGGAGACAGCTTATTATTTATTGTAACTATTTTGGAAAACAAAGTCCTCACTAGTTGGGGGATTATGGGATCTGTATTCTAGAAAGAGGCTCTCACAGGCTGGGAATGGGCCCTCTGAATGAGGTCTATACCTTGAAGGCCCAGGGTTATCCTCTAAACTGCAAATCCCGGGATCTTGGAAGATGGAGACATGACAGAACGAGGAAAAAGAGGCTCGCAGCAGAAGCTTTCATAGATTCAGAAACCGTCCACTCTGCAGAATTATAGCAGTCTGACACCGCATTGATTGCCATGGATGAATGCTATAGAATCCTAGGAGTTGTAGTCTGTCTTTGGTAGAGAAGGCCAATGACCTTGTAAAATTGCAGCTAGCCATGGCAACTATGTAGGGGTATGCAAAGGTTCACTTAATGTGTGTGTGTCAACTGCAAAATGAGATGCATGAAGTTAATTGGTCAGGCAATACCCAGGGAGATCGCTGAGCCTGAGACTTTTGGATACTGTTCCATTTTTGTTCAGGCTTGAGCTCTGCAAGTGCACAGAGAGACAGTTTGAAGAGAGAAGCACACACAGAGAGAGACTGATTTGCTTCTGGCTGCTGAAGGAGTTGATCCACATGGACAGAGAAATACCATTGTAAACCTCTACTACAAGGACATTATGTGAGTCGATGCAACTCATCACATTGTACATATGTTGCTCTGAACTATGAAGAGTAAACTACTTGTTCTTTATTGGCATATTTTCTTTCTCTGGCAAGGCCATGGTTGGGCTGATCAAATGTGAACACACGTGGTTTATTTTACATTACGCCAAAACTAGAAGCGTCAAAATGTTGAAGCGCAATTATTTCTACTGGATGAAAAGGGAAGAGAATCAATAAAGATTGCAAAAGTTACTTTTTTGGGGCCTCCACTCTCAAAGTCTCCCAGGCAGTGGAGCTCGGGCTTTCTTCAGTTTCACTCACACTTACCAATGAGGAATGGTGAAAGGCACGAAAGAGGAATGCCGGAACATCTCCAAGATGAACGCTTCTGTGTAGGGCAGCATGGTCCGATCGGACAGCTTGGCTTTCCTTTCGCAGCCAATATTCTGATCTGCAGAAGCAGCGAAGGGAGAGGAGGAAATAATATGTATAACGATGTGAAAATGGCCTCTCTCTCTGTCTGTCTCTATCCATGGAGCCATCTATGGATCCATCCATCCATCCATCCATCTATCTCGGTGTCTATCAACCTTCTTAATGCCACGAACCCTTAATACAGTTCCTCCTGTTGTGGTGACCCCCGACCATCACATTATTTTTGTTGCTACTCCATAACTGTCATTTTGCTACGGTTCTGAATCACAATGTAAATATCTGATGATATGCAGGATGTTTTTTCATTCACTGGACCAAATTTGGCACAAATATCCAATACGCCCAAGTTTGAATACTGGTGGGGTTGGGGGAAGATTGATTTTGTCATTTGGGAGTTGTGGTTGCTGGGATTTATAGTTGCTACAATCAAAGAGCATTCTGAGCTCCACCAATGATGGAATTGAACCCACCTCGACACACAGAACTCCCATGACCAAGCGAAAATACTGGAAGAGTTTGGTGGGCATTGACCTTGAGTTTTGGAGTTGTAGTTCATCTACATCCAGAGAGCCCTGTGGACTCAAACAATGATGGTTCTGGACCAAGCTTGACATGGATACTCAATATGCCCAGATGTGAACGCTGGTGGGGTTGGGGGAAGGGATTGATTTTGTCATTTGGGAGTTGTAGTTGCTAGGATTTATAGTTCACCTATAATCAAAGAGCATTCGGAACTCCACTAATAATAGAATTGAACCAAAATTGGCACACAGAACTCCCATAATGAACAGAAAATACTGGAAGGGTTTGGTGGGTATTGATCTTGAGTTGTGAGTTGTGGTTCCCCTACATCTAAAGAGCACTGTGGATTCAAACAATGATAGATCTGGACCAAACTTGGCACAAGTACTCAATATGCCCAAATGTGAACACTGGTGGAGTTTGGGGAAAACGGACCTTGACATTTGGAAGTTGTAGTTGCTGGGATTTAGAGTTCACCTTCAATCAAAGAACATTCTGAACTCCACCAAGGATGGAATTGAACCAAACTTGGCACATGGAACTCCCATGACCAACAGAAAATACTGGAAGGGTTTGGTTTGCATTGACCTTGAGTTTGGGAGTTGTAGTTCACCTACATATAGAGAGCACTGTGGATTCAAACAATGATAGATCTGGACCAAACTTGGCACAAATACTCAATATGCCCAAATGTGAACACTGGTGGAGTTTGGGGAAAATAGACCTAGACATTTGGGAGTCGTACTAGCTGGGATTTATAGTTCACCTACAATCAAAGAGCATTCTGAACCCCACACAGACATGCCATGACCAACAGAAATTAATATGATTTTTGATGCTCTTTGGTGACCCCTCTGACTCCCCCTCATGACCCCTCCCCAGGGGTCCCAATCCCAAGATTGAGAAACATCCATTCTTCCATCCATCTATCCTTTTCTATCCTCGATCAAGAGAATGAGGTTTACCTAGTTCTTCTTGAATTTTCTTCTGGATTTCTGGATAAGTCACCAGGTATGCCAGGCACCAGGACAGGCCAGTGGTCACAGTATCAAACCCTAGGAAAGAAGCAAAGTTTCGCATTTTTAGAATTACGGTAGGTCCAGTGATGCAAACGGCTGGATTTGGCATGACAAGTGTGGAGCCAGGAGTTGATTGCCACTACAAATGGGATCTGTGGTGTTTTGGTGCAACATGGAGCATAACTAGGAAAAGCCACTTTTTTGGACTTCAAGTCCCAGAATCCCAGAAAGATTTTGAGAGCGATAGTACAAAGAAGCAGTAGCCTGAGCACTGGAGAGAGAAGGAATCGCTTGCCATTTGGCAATATTAAACCTAAGTGGAAATATAGCTGGGTGGGAAAAAATTTACACATGACAAGTTTGTGTGCTCTTTTATCCAAAACGGATTTCTTCAGATTTTAGAATACCTGTATTTGCATATACTTACAAAATTAAATATTTTGGAGAAATCTAAATAAGGCATTCATTTATGTGCCATATACACCCTATACAAATAGCCTGAAAGTAATTTTCTGCAATAATTTAAATAATTTTGTGTGTCATTATTTTATGTTTTGTCTTGATTGTTAGTTGTCTGTTTGGCATTGAATGTTTCCCATTTTGTTTTACTTTGGAAACCACCCTGAGTCCCTCCGGGGAGAGAGGGTGGGCTATAAATAAAGTTTTTGTTATTATTTTTGTTGTTATTATAATTGAAGAGAGACGTTGACTCTAAGCTGGAATGTTGTCCAGAGGAGGGTGACCAACATGATCAAGTGTCTGGAGAACAAGCCCTATGAGGAGCAGCTTAAAGAGCTGGGCATGTTTAGCCTGAAGAAAAGAAGGCTGAGACATGATGAGGGCCATGTATAACTATGTGAGAGGAAGTCAAAGGGAGGAGGGAGCAAGCTTGTTTTCTGCTGCCTTGGAGACCAGGACGCAATAGAACAATGGACTCAAACTGCAAGAAAGGAGATTCCATCTGAACATGAGGAAGAACTTCCTGACTGTGAGAGCTGTTCAGCAGTGGAACTCTCTGCCCTGGAGTGTGGTGGAGGCTCCTTCTTTGGAGGCTTTTAAACAGAGACTGGGTGGCCATCTATAATTCCCATGGTTTCATTGCATTTATTTATTTAGAACTTTTATATACCAGTCTTCTCGACCTCCGGAGAGGGACTCAGGCCGGTTTACAACAAAGATTTATAAACAATAGTTAAAACATCACCTCCCATAATACACCAAAACATAAAATACTTTAAAAAGCAATCATATAAATACATAAGACCAAGTCGTCAAATGAAATCACAATTCATCACCATCCGTCCGTGTGGTCAAGAGTTATTGACTCATTCATCAAATGCTAAATTCCAGAGCCAAGTTTTCACCAGCTTTCTAAAAGTCAGGAGAGAAGGGGCAGTTCTAATCTCCAGTGGGAGAGAGTTCCAGAGCCGAGGGGCCACCACCGAGAAGGCCCTGTCCCTCGTCCCCACCAGACGCAATTGCGAGGAGTGGTGGGACCGAGAGCAGGGCCCCTCCAGAAGATCTTAACAACCTTGATGGTTCATAGGGGAGAATCCGTTCGGACAGGTAAACTGGGCCGGAGTCGTTTAGGGATTTATAGGTCAACACCAGCACTTTGAATTGTGCTTGGAAGCTAATTGGCAGCCAGTGGAGCTGATGCAACAGAGGAGTAGTATGCTCCCTGTACCCTGCTCCTGTTAGTAATCTGGTTGCTGCTCGTTGGACTAATTGCAGCTTCCGGGCAGTCTTCAGAGGCAACCCCACGTAGAGAGCGTTGCGGTAGTCTATACGGGATGTAACCAGAGCGTGGACCACCGTGATCAATGCATTGAGCCACAGCAGTTCCAAGTTATGCCAAACTGTGTGATGGAGGCTCCTGCTATGGAGGCTTTTAAACAGAGGCTGGATGGCCATCTGTTGGGGGTGCTTTGAATGCAATTTCCTGCTTCTTGGCAGAATGGGGTTGGACTGGATGATGGCCCATGAGGTCTCTTCCAACTCCATGAGTCTATGATAAGCCTAAATCCACACATGAATCTAAGCCAGAATTGATTCATGGACTCAACTGCTGAATGGCAAGTCAACATTGATAGAAATCCCATTGGTTCAATGCGTTGACTTTAGTAAAAGCGAGCAAATGGTGGGACTAAAAGAGGTAAGACTAAGTTGACTGCCCTGAGTTGCCTGCGAGCGGAGAGGGTGCGGTATAAAAATATAGTAAACAAATAAGTATACATCACCTTTCAGTGAGTAAACCCTTACCTGCTCCAAAAATATCACCAACAATGTGGACAATGTTTTGACCCAACTGCTGGATATTGGCATTCACGTCCACCTTTTTGCTCTGCCAGTAGTCAATCAGGGAGTCGGTGATGTCGCGGATGTTGTTCTGAAATGCAAATTCAAAGGTTGGATGGTGTCCTAGATTGTAGAAGTTCTAGACTGCTTACTCTGGGATCAACTCCATTATGTTATAAGCAGTTCTTTGCCCATCTTGGGGTTTGTCTGTACTACCAAATTAATGCAGTTCAATAGTACTTTAAATACCAAGGTTTTGCCCTGACATAAAATCCAGTCGTGTCCGACTCTGGGATTCTTGGACTCATCTCCATCTCTAAGCTGAAAAGCTGGTGTTGTCCATAGACGACTCCAAGGTCATGTGGCCAGCATGACTGCATGGAGCACTGTTACCTTCCCACAGAAGCAGTACCTATTAATCTACTCACATTTGCATGTTTTCGAACTGCTAGGTAAGCAGGAGCTAGGCTAACAGTGGGTGCTCAACCCGCTCCCCGGATTCGAACTTGTAACCTTTTGGTCAGCAAGTTCAGCAGCTCAGCGGTTTAACCCACTGCGCCACTTGTTTTACATGTCTTTAATCTGCCCAAGAGGACTGATGCCTCGCCATAATTCCATAATATTCAGCCATTGCAGCTAAAGTGAGGCAAAACTGCTTTGATTTTATAGTATAGATGCAACCTTTGAGTAATACATTACCCAGTCCTGCTTCTCAATCTTGCAATTAAAGTTACAAGAGACCTATCCAAGAGGAAGCCTGGCAGACCTATGGCTTCCATGAGGGGCAAGAAAGCCATCCTATGTGTTGTTCTAGATGTCAGAGGAGCTATCCAAGGTGCTGGATCTGTTTCAGGAGTTCAAATTTAACACGGAATAGTTCAGCCGATTCAATAGGCCTTTTGAACTAAAACACAGACTGGATTAGTTGTCCAACTGACCTGGAAGATACCCATTGCACCAAGCCATACTCTTTGGGGAGATAGAGCAGAATATAAATAATATATAAAATAATATAAAATAATAAAATATAAAATATAAAATTATTATTATTGGACTATCTAGCCTTGTACAGTAGGATTTCAGGTCCTTTCCATCATCTCCTACATCATTTTTTAAAGTTGCAATTCCAGGGACTTTTTCCATGCATGGAATGAACTGAATGAGCTTTGCAAATCCTTGGCATTTTAAGACTCAAAGCACAGCCACCTTTTGAAAAGAAAGCAAATTTAGCTCTGACTTATGTCTAGATCAGCCATTCCCAAGGAGCCCCCAGTAGCACAGCAGGTTAAATTGCTGAGATTGCTGACCAAAAGGTCAGCGGTTCGAATCTGGGGAGCAGTGTGAGCTTCCGCTGTCAGCCCCAGCTTCTGCCAACCTAATAGTTCGAAAACATGCAAATGTGAGTAGATCAATAGGTACTGCCCTGGCAGGAAGGTAACGGCACTCCATGCCAGCCACATGACCTTGGATGTGTCTACGGACAACGCACCTGGGGGGCCAAAGTTGGCCCATGCCTGGTCTGTAGTGTCAGTCGGTATCATACAGACAATGATTTTAATATTGAATGTAATGTTAAATATTTAATATGCATTCCTTTAAATTCAATTGAATTTAAGACTTTAAATTCAATTCATTTTATTTATTTACTATATTTGTATTCCGCCCTTCTCATTCAGCCCTTAGGCGACTCAGGGCAGTTTACAATGGCAACGATTCAATGCCCAAAATCACCATAAAACATTTAAAAACATTAACACATAATATAAAACCATAACAAAAATACTAAAAGCATACATCATTTGTTAAACCACTGAGCTGCTGAACTTGCTGACCAAAAGGTTGCTGGTTCGAATCCGGGGAGTGGGGTGAGCCCCATCTTCTGCCAACCCTAGCAGTTTGAAAAAATGCAAATCATAGAATCATAGAATTGGAAGAGACTTGGTGGGCCACCCAGTCCAACCCCATTCTGCCAAGAAGCAGGAATATTGCATTCAAAGCACCCCTGACAGATGGCCATCCAGCAAGAAGGTAAGGGTGCTCCATGCAGTCATACTGGCCATATGACCTTGGAGGTGTCTACGGACAATGCCGGCTCTTCAGCTTAGCTATGGAGATGAGCACCAACCCCCAGAGTTGTACTCAACTAGACTTAATGTTAGGGGAAAACCTTTACCTTTACTAACGTCTCAATCATCCATTCGCAAACTTTGCTCCTCTCACTATTTTGGACTTTGACTCTCATCTTGGCCAACAGCCAGGAATTCTGGGAGTCAAAGTCCTTAAATCTGGAAAACATGGGTGTAGAAAGAAGTCTGTTTATGCCCCTTGGGACTGCATGGAGAGAATGCAAGGAAAGAAACCAATGCCTAAATGCCATGATCAATAACTCTGTAGCTTGCAAAACAAGCTCTCTATCTCTTTGAGCTTCTAGCAAGCATCCCAAGCTTATCACAGGAAGGATGACATTTAAACCCTCCTATACATTTTCCTTTAAACTTTGATCCGGCTGCATATTTGAGGGATAAAGGAGAGAAACCATTGGCTTGACATCTCTAGAAATCTTGGGGTCAGAGGAGTCAATGACGCACACACGCAACGATCAAGATAGGAATGGTGCACATCTGGTAGAAGATCAAAAAGCAAGGCATTTCAGACTAGGCTTTACTTGTTTACCGCACCATGCCAGTCGAGACAATGCAGATTAAATAGCCTACTATGTCCCCGATTGCAAACAGAGTTCTGGTTTTTGCTGCACATGTTGAATGTATCCATAAATCCAGCTGCCGTGCAATGTATTACCACATATGCTGAATGTCAGACACTTTATGCTTCACCTATGAATGATGCGCACATGTGAGCCCCTGCTTGGAAAACTCCACTCATGATGGATATGCTTGCTTGGCTGAAGCAGAACTTGTCATCCACAACCAGATCAACAATTGGGTCACACCATTTACAGAAAACCCACACACACAGATAGATCCCTACATAAACACTCCAACCATCACCCAAGTCAAAAAAGAAGCACCATTAAAGCCTTGGCAGACCATGCAAAAAGAATCTGCGGAACCCCACCTCCTCCAAGATGAACTGAACCACCTCAACTGGGCTCTCCAAGCCAATGGAGACTCCACCTCAAACATCAGAAGAGCTGCAAGACAACCGAGAAGAAGCCACGAGAGTCAAGACAAAGGTCCACCCAGAGGGAAAGTGTTCTTGCCAGACATCAAGGGAACCACTGACCGCAGAGGGAAGCGGAGGAGGAAACACAACATACAAACCATCTACAGACCCACCAAGAAAATCCAACAAATGCTACGTTCATGAAAGGACAAGAGGGGTCCTCTCACTTCTGCAGGAGTCTACCGTATCCCATGCAGCTGTGGACAAGTCTCCATAGATAGGGACCACCAAACGCAGCAGCATTGCCCAAACACGAATCCAGGAACATGAAAGGCACTGCAGACTACTTCAACCAGAGAAGTCAGCCATAGCAGAGCACCTGAAGAACCAGCCTGGACACAGCATATTATTTGAGAACACAGAAATGCTGGACCACTCTCACAACCGCCATGTCAGACTACACAGAGAAGCCATTGAAATCCACAAGCATGTGGACAATTTCAACAGAAAGGAAGAAACCATGAAAATGTACAAAATCTGGCTACCAGTATTAAAAAAAAAACTTCTAAAATTAAAACAGCAAAACAGCAGAGGGAAAACAATCAGGGACATCTAATCACCTCTCAACAAAGATTCCCCCAGGCAATAACAAGCCACAACAAAAAAACCTGCCAGGCCATCCAATGCTAATCAAGGTGGTCAGTTGAAACATTCACACTTAGCTCCAGCAGACAAGGGTTCTTTGTCCCACCCTGGTCATTCCACAGAGATATAACCCCATTTTCCTAGTTCCAACAGACTTCACTACCTCTGAGAATGCTTGCCATAGATGCAAACGAAACGTCAGGAGAGAATGCCTCTAGAACATGGCCATATAGCCCGAAAAAACCTACAACAACCCAACTTGTAGAAGGTTTGGATGACTATTCCCAGCATCTCCACCACAACTCACAGCCATGTCCGCTAGGATTTGTAGTCCTAAACCATAACTATAGGCTGAGAAAGAAAAGGCAAGTGGCACATGCCCCAAACAAACATACCTTATCGAAGCTTATGTAATGTTCCTTGGCAATCCGTTTCACAAGGTTACCGAACCGTGTGTTGAGATCCCTGAAGACCTTCATGGTTTGGTTGGGAAGATACCGGAGGAGAGGGATGAAGTCGGCCGGATTGCCAGAGGCTGCGGCCTCTCCAAAATCGTTGTTGATGTTCACCAAGCTTAACAGTTCCTGGTCTTCGTGATCATATCGCTTGCCAAAACACATGCCGCAGATGACATTGGCCACAGAGACCACCAGGTACCGGTAAGGCTCAAAGCTATTCTTCTCCTTCATCAGCTCCTGGAATTTCGTGAGCAAGTAATCTGCTTCAGTGGATACAAACTCCTCCAACGGACAAGTTGACAAGTTTTCATTCGCTGCTATGGAGATGACCTTCAAGGCATTCTGGGCTACCTTCCGACGGGAGCGCCAAACTCCTGCAGGACATGACCCAAACGCGAGGCTTTGGCCCTCTCCAACAAACTGAAAGCTGTAGAGATTGGGGCGGCCTGCAAAGTCTTCTCCTTGCTTGACCAAGGCTTGCCGGATGGTCTCCAAGCCGCTCAGAACCAGGATCGGTCTTGTGCCAATGCGGATCTGCATCACATCACCGTATTTCTGGCGCATCTGACTCAAAGTCAAATGAGGATTTTTCCCCAGGTCCAACATGCTGCCAATGAGCGGGTATCCCTTTGGCCCAGGGAGGCTCTTCAGCCCTGGCGGAATCTTCTGCCGGAAAGATTTGATGATCACCAAAACGAGGAAGAAGACCACCAAGGCTAAGAGGAGTTCGGTGAGGGACATCACGGTTTGGGATCCCATCAGGACAAGCTCCATGTTCCTTGAAGTCAAAGTAACCTAATGAGCCAAACAAGGAGAGACATAGAAAGAAGACACACAATGTGAGGAAGGATTGGGGGAAAGGTCATCCTGTGCTTAGGAGACCCTTGCAGTCAAGATCTTTTCTGTGCTAAAGCCAACATTTTCCAACTCAGAAACATTCTCAAGATGAAGACATGAAAAAATAGGCTGGCATTCTAACACGTCTCAGTGAATTTTGTGAGCTAAAGAAAGTCAGGCCTGGTCAGTACTTGGATGGATGTTTTTCTTTATTTGGTGGAGGAACATTGCCCTGCTTTTCCATGTCTTGGCTGTTGGGTACCAAATGTTCAGTTAAAGAACTAAAACCTCTGACCATATTATTATTCATGGGAACCACATTGTCCATGGAGATCTATCAGTGACTACATTTTTTATGGAGATCTATCTGTGATCATGTTGTTTATGGAGATTTATCCATCTGTAACCATGTTGTTCATGGAGATCTATTTGTGACCATGTTGTTCATGGAGATCTATCCATCTGTAACCATGTTGTTCTGGAGATATATCTATCTGTGACCATGTTGTTCATGGAGATCTATCTGTGGCCATGTTGTTCATGGAGATCTATCAATCTGTGACCATGTTGTTCATGGATATCTATCTGTGATCATGTTTTTCATGGATATCTATCCACCTGTAACCATGTTGTTCATCGAGATCTATCCATCTGTAACCATATTGTTCACGGAGATCTATCTGTGATCATGTTGTTCATGGAGATCTATCCATCTGTAACCATGTTGTTCATGGATATCTATCTGTGAATATGTTGTTCATGGAGATCTATCCATCTGTGACCATGCTGTTCATGGAGATCTGTGACCATGTTGATCTGTAACCATGTTGTTCATGGAGATATATCTATCTGTGACCACATTGTTCATGGAGATCTATCCATCTGTGACCATGTTGTTCATGGAGATCTATCCATTTGTGACCATCTTGTTCATGGAGATCTATCAATCTGTGATCATGTTGTTCATGGAGATCTGTCGATCTGTAACCATGTGGTTCATGGAGATCTATCCATCTGTAACCATGTTGTGACTATCTACGTCATCACACTAGAGAATGAATCCATTTTAAATCCGGTTGCTGCCTCCGGCAGAATTCTGAAGTTTGTAATTTAGGGAGGAGCCCTTAACAGCCTCACTAAACGAGAAACCCCAGAATTTGGCAGGAGGCAGAAACCAATTTTAAAGTGGATTCATTCTCTAATGTGATGAAGTAGTATGTTGTTCATGGAGATCTGTGTATCTGTGACTGTATCCTTCTTGGATGTCTATATATTGGCGTGATGTGAACCAACCTGGAAGGAGAATTGAGGAAACTGGGCTTTTTTGGACCTTTCCTTCCAGGTTCCCCTATCCAATTTGGCCACTAGTTAGGGGTTACCCAATCCAAACTAGTAAATATCCCAATGCCAGTTTAAAATGCCAGTTTTGAGTCATCCTCCCCATCCTCACTTCTGGCCCAAAACCAGGGCAACCTGAAAGATCCAGAACATGTGTTGCCTGCAAGCAGCAGATTTGCTGAATGGGCAGATCCAATGCAGGTCCATTCACTGCTGACATTCCTTGGCAAGTCACACCCACTCTGTGCCAGCATTTGTTTACAATCTCTAAAATAGGGGACAGCCATGGAGGGTGCAGAAAATAATATCCCTTGATTATAAGAGTCCCCCAGTCTTCCTTGAATCATGAAAGGCATGCTTTGGAGGACCATACCTGGTCAAGATGGCCTGTCTCACAGGTATGTTGAGAAGGTAACATGGGAAAGGGAATCTGGGGAAGAGAATACCCATTGGAGCTCATAGGCGGTAACATGTGATATACACCAAAGCAGTGGTTCCCAGCCTTCCTAATGCCACGATCCCTTAATACAATTCCTCAGGTTGTGTTGACCCCCAAGCATACAATTATTTTTGTTGCTACTTCACAACTGTCATTTTGCTACTGATACGAATCATAATGTAAATATCTGATATGCAGGACTGAATTTGGCACAAATACCTGATATTCCCAAATATGAATACTGGTGGAGTTTGACATTTGGAAATTGTAGTTGCTGGGATGTATAGTTCACTTACAATGAATGAGCATTCTATACCCCACCAATGATAGAATTGGGCCAAACTTCCCACACATACCCCCATGACCAACAGAAAATACTGGAAGGGTTGGTGGGCACTGACCTTCAGTTTTGGAGTTGTAGTTCACCTACATTCAGAGAGCACAGTGGACTCAAACAATCATAGGTTTGGGCTAAACTTGGCATGAATACTCAATATGCCCAAATGTGGTGGGAAAATAGACATTTGACATTTGGGAATTGTAGTTGCTGGGATTTATAGTTCACCTACAATCAAAGAGCATTCTGAACCCTACCAACGATAGAATTGGGCCAAACTTCCCACACAGAACCCCCATGACCAACAGAAAATACTGTGCTTTCTGATGGTCTTTGGCGACCCCTCTGACACCCCCCCTTGTGACCCCCCCCCCCCCCCCGGGGTCCTGACCCCCAGGTTGAGAAACGCTGCTTTAGACGCCTGGATTTGGCTTCCTTCCCATTGTCAACCAACCAGTAGACTTTCTACCAGAATAGGGGCTTTATTACGTTGTTGGCCTACGTTTTCCTTCTCCTTTCTCATCCCTGTTTCCCTTTATATTGTGACTTGCCCAGATTCCCCAGGAACACTCCTACCCATTTCCCCCCTATGCAAGCTTTCCAAGGGTGCATCCACCCTATAGAATCAATGCAGCTTGACCCTACTTGAACCGCCATGGTGCAAGGTCATGAAATCAAGGCACATAACAGTTTAGAGGAGGCACTTGGATTCTTTGCTAAAGACTTTGTGGAACTACAACTCCCAGGATTACATAGCATTGAGACAGAGCAGTTATATCGGAGTACCTACAAGCCACTCTAAACACCTTCGCAGAAGCATACGAGAAGCTTGACCAGTCATTGAACATTGAGAAAGCCAAAGTGCTCTTCCAGAAGTCACCAGCCAATCACTCTCCAATGCCAGAGATACAGCTTAATGGTGTAACATTAGAAAATGTTGACCATTTCCGCTACCTTGGCAGCCACCTCTTCACAAAAGTCAACATTGACACCGAAATACAACACCACCAGAGCTCTGCGAGTGCAGAGATTATTTGAGGATCGGGACATCCGCAGGGAGACCAAGGGGCTTGTTTATAATGCCATTGTCCTCCCAACCCTGCTATATGCCTGCGAAACGTGGACTGTCTACAGATGTCAACACTGAGACTGAAATACAACACCACCTGAGCTCTGTGAGTGTAGCATTCTTCCGAATGAAACAGAGAGTGTTTGAGGACCAGGACATCCGCAGGGAGACCAAGGGGCTTGTTTATAATGTCATTGTCCTCCCAAACCTGCTATATGCCTGCGAAACATAGACTGTCTACAGATGTCAACAGTGAGACTGAAATACAACACCGCCTGAGCTCTGCAAGTGCAGCATTTTTCCGAATGAAGCAGAGAGTGTTTGAGGACTGGGACATCCGTAGGGAGACCAAGATGCTTGTTTATAAAGCCATTCCCCTCCCAACCCTGCTATACGCTTGCGAGATGTGGACAGTCTACAGACGTCACATGCAAGTCTTGGAATGATTCCATCAGCACTGCCTCCAAAAAATCCTGCAAATCTCTTGGGAAGACAGGCGAACAAATGTCAGTATGCTGGAAGAAGCAAAGACCACCAGCATTGAAATGATGGTCCTCTGCCATCAACTCCGCTGGACTGGATGCCTGACCACCGTCTCTCAAAGCAGTTGCTCTATTCCGAACTTAAGAATGGAAAATGGAATGTTGGAGGACAGAAAAAGAGATTGAAAGACAGGCTCAAAGCCAACCTTAAAAACTCTGGCATAGACAGTGAGAACTGGGAAACCCTGGCCTGTGAGCGCTCCAGTTGGAGGTCAGCTGTGACCAGCAATGCTGCAGAATTTGAAGAGGCACGAATGGAGGGAGAAAGAAACGTGCCAAGAGGAAGGCGCATCAAGCCAACCCCGACCAGGACTGCTTTCCATCTGGAAACCGATGCCCTCACTGCTGGAGAACATGCAGATCAAGAATAGGGCTCCACAGTCACCTACGGACCCACCGCCAGGATACTACACTTGGAGGACCATCATCCTCGGACTACGAGGGATTGCCTAAGTAAAGTATAGTGGAGTCAAACTTCATTACTGTAGATCAGGAATGGGCAAACTTGGGCCCTACAGGTGTTTTGGACTTCAACTCCCACAATTCTTGACAGTTTCAAGCCAAGAAAGAAAGAAAGAAAGAAAGAAGGAAGGAAGGAAGGAAGGAAGGAAGGAAGGAAGGAAGGAAGGAAGGAAGGAAGGAAGGAAGGAAGGAAAGGGCCTGAGGCTGTTAGGAATGGTAGGAGTTGAAGTCCAAAACACCTTCAGGGCCCAAGTTTGCCCATGCCTGGTGTAGATGAACCCTTGAAGGGGAAATCTAGGGCGCTGAACCCACCCCCAAAATAGTTTCAGCACCACGGACAGTGCTTTACAGTCCTCACTAAAGTTCAGGATGGATTGAAATGGAAACTATCAGTTAATCAGAGTATGCCGTGAGCAAAGATTTTGTCCTTGAACCCTAGCACGAGTTCCTGTGTCAATAATCCTGTACGGAGCAAGTCACATTTCAAAAGCAATGCAAGAAACAATAGCCAGGCTTGATTTGATTGGCATTGCTGAGAAGCCTTCCTAGTTATTTTCAAACCTGTCTACTGATCAGAGACTTTTTGGCATTAGGCCACATTCATAGAGTGCATAAAATCCAATAATTTTTTTCTTTATTAACATCACAGACAAGTATAAATAGAGTGCGTCTATCTACACCAGTGTTTCTCAATCTGGGAGTCAGGACCCCTGGGGGGAGGGTTGCGAGGGGGTGTCCGAGGGGTCACAAAAAACTATCAGAAAACACCTATTTTCTGTTGGTGATGGGGGTTCTGTGTGGGAAGCCTGACCCAATTCTTTCATTGGTGAGGTTCAGAATGCTCTTTGAGAGTAGGTGAACTATACATCCCATTAGGAAGGTTGAGAAACACTGTCTTAAAGTGTATATTCCCGTGTGGATGGATGTTTACTCAATGCAATCCCATTTTGCTAATGGTACAAGTTACTAAATAAATGAGATCTACTATGTAATAATAATAATAATAATATTTATTTATTTGATCAGTCATATGACCATTTCAAAATAAAACACGAGTAAAAAACAAGGCAAACAAGGTGATAAGTCAGAATCTTATTTTCCTGGTTCTTCTTTCAGGAAATCTGCTCTTTTCTTAATAGCTTTCAGAATAAAAAGGCTTACTCTGATTATGCTGGATCTTTCCTGCCCTTGCAAGAGGGATGTCAGAATATCATTTCTGTTGGGGGACCTGCAGTTGGATAATATTGGATGTAAATATCTGTCTCGCAGTTCGGTGTATGCTGGACAGTCAATTAAGAAATGTTCAATGTCTTCCACTGTTTGTTCTCCCCAGACGCAGAATCTCTCACTTCTTGGGATGTTACAGTAACGCCCGGTTTGCACCATAGTACCGAGTTGTTCAAACCTAGCCCTAGTATATATTCTTCTTAAGGGTAGAGGAAGTGGAATAGTTAGGTAGTGCTCTAAATGAATATTCCTTTTGTGGGAAGCTAAAAACCTTGTGGCTGAAGACCTACCTATGCTCTCTAGGTCCAGCTGTGCATAGACATCCCTAATGCACCACTTGAGCACTTGCCCTGCCCCCGGACCTAGAACACCCAGAAACTGCAAAGGCAGACCGAATCCAGCCAGCTCATTATTTAGAGCCACCATCCACGATGACTTCTGGTCATGCTGGACTTGATCCTCTAGACATAGGCAAGGAAGTCTACTGGGATCCATAGAGTTTATTTTTGACCAGTAATTAAACTGTCTCATTAGAATTTGAGCTTTCACTGGGAGTATTCCTAGCTCAGCCCTTACTGCCGCTGTCAGCATTGTTCTGGAAAGTCCCAGGAAGGTGCGAAGCTGCTTCAATTGGATCTACTATGTTAAGATAAAAACTCCCAAATGTCAAGGTCTCTTTCCCCCAAACTCTACCAGTCTTCACATTTTGGCACGTTGAGTGTTCCTGTCCAGATTCATGATTGTTTGAGTCCACAGTGCTCTCTCCGGCTGTAGGTGAACTACAACTCCCAAACACAAGGTCAGTGCCCACCAAACCCTTCCAGTATTCTCTGTTGGTCATGGGAGTTCTGTGTGCCAAGTTTGGTTCAATTTCATCATTGGTGGAGTTCAGAATGCTCTTTGATTGTAGGTGAACTATACATCCCAGCAACTACAACTCCCAAATATCAGGGTCTATTATTCCCAAAGTACACCAGTGTTCACATTTTGGCATATTGAGTGTTCATGTCAAGTTTGGTCCAGATCCATGATTGTTTGAGTCCACAGGGCTCTCTGGCTGTAGGTGAACTACAACTCCCAAACTCAAGGTCAATGCCCACCAAACCCTTCCAGTATTTTCTATTGGTCATGGGAGTTCTGTGTGCCAAGTTTGGTTCACTCCCATCATTGGTGGAGTTCGGAATGCTCTTTGATTGTAGGTGAACTATACATCTCAGCAACTACAACTCCCAAATGTCAAGGTCTGTTTTCCCCAAACTCCACCAGTATTCACATTTGGGCATATTGAGCATTTTGGCATATTGAGTGTTCGTGCCAAGTTTGGTCCAGATCTATCATTATTTGAGTCCACAGTGGATTTAGGTGAACTACAACTCCAAAACTCAAGGTCAATGCCCACCAAACATTTCCAGTATTTTCTGTTYGTCGTGGGAGTTCTGTGTGCCAAGTTTGGTTCAATTCCATCCTTGGTYGAGTTCTGAATGCTCTTTGATTGTAGGTGAASTATAAATCCCAGCTACTACAACTCCCAAAAGCCACTATCAACACCCCCCCCCCCCAACCCCACCAGAATTCAAATGTGGCCGTATAGGGTATTTTCGCCAAAATTGGTCCAGTGAATGGAAATACATCCTGCATATCAAATATTTACAAGACGATTGAGAACAATAGCAATATGACAGTTATGGAGTGTCAATGCAAATAATGTGATGGTTGGGGGTCACCACAACACAAGGAACTGTGTTAAGTTGTCGTGGCATTAGGAAGGTTGACAACCACTGCTCTACACTGTAGAATCAATGCAGTTTGGCACCTCTTGAACTGCCATGGCTCAATGCTACAGAATTGTAGTTTGGTGAGGCAGCTGCCCTGCTTGGCAAAGGAGGCCGAAGACCTTGACAAACTACAACTCCCAGGATCACCATAGCATGGAGCCATTGCAGCTCAAGCTGCTGCCAGAGTACAGGACGGAGATGCAACTGTGGGAAAGGTTCTCTTGGGTGGAAACACAAATGCACCGGTGTAAAACCAAACTGTCCACTTACCTGGCTTCCTCCCACTTTGGCAAAAGAGCCTCAGTCTCTGGCTGCTGCTGCTGCTGCTGCTACCACCTCTGGCTCTCTGCGCATGGAAGTCAATCGGCCCTTTCCACGGCCAGATGCGCCCCCTGCAGCTCTCCGGGCAAACTCCTGCTCCTGCCTGCAAGCAAGGGCCACTACAGAGCACTTTCCCTGCCAGCTTTATAGGCACCTCCTGGGCCCTTATTGGTCGGCAGCCCCGTCCACATGTGGAGGCCTTTCCTCCAATCCAAAGTGGCTCCGAATTTGTGGGAAAGCGCAGGATGTGGAGCCTGGCCAGAGGCGCATGGACAAGGAGGGCAGCTTGATCAGACATCAACAGCTGTGGTGGAATGCTATGAGATCCTAAGGTTGGAGTTTTACAAGACCTTGAGTGCTTCTCCACTGGAGAATTGATGTACTGCTTTGGCTGAAGGCTATGAAATCCTGGGAGTTGTAGCATTGCAATGCTTTGGAACAACTCCACAATATAACACATCAACTATTGTGGCTCAAAGCTGTGAGATCCTGGGAGTTGTAGTTTTACAAGACCTTGGGTGCATCTCCACTGTGGCTGAAAGCTATGAGATCATGGGAGTTGTGGTTTCACCTGGGGTGCATCTCCACTGTAGAATTAATGTTGTTTAACAACACATCAACTGCTATAACTCAATGCTATGTCAATAATAATAATAATAATAATAATAATGCTATGAGATCCTGGGAGTTGTAGCTTTATAAGACCTTGGGTGCATCTCCGCTGTGGCTGAATGCTATGAGATCCTGGGAGTTGTAGTTTTACAAGACCTTGGGTGCATCTCCACTGTGGCTGAATGCTATGAGATCCCGAGAGTTGTAGTTTTATAAGACTTTGGGTGCATCTCCACTGTGAATGAATGCTATGAGATCCTGGGAGTTGTAGTTTCACCTGGGGTGCATCTCCACTGTAGAATTAATGTAGTTTAACAACACATCAACTGCTATAACTCAATGCTATGTCATCATAATAATAATAATAATAATAATTCATTTATAACTCACCCTATCTCCCTGGAGAGATCCTGAGAGTTGTAGTTTTACAACACATCAACCACTGTGGCTCAATGCTTTGAGATCCTGGGAGTTGTAGTTTTACAAGGCCTTGGCTGAATACCCACTGCAGAATTAATGTAGTTTACTAACACATCAACTGCTGTGGCTCAGTGCGATGAGATCCTGGGAGTTGTAGTTTTTACAAGACCCTGGGTGCCTTTACATTGTAGAATTGATGCAGTTTACTAGCACATCAACTGCCTTGGCTCAATGCAATGAGATCCCGGGAGTTGTAGTTTTACAAGATCTTTCAACTCTGTCAAAGAGTGCTGGCGCCACATTAAACTATAACTCCCAGAGTGCCACAGCACTGAGCCGTGGCTGTTCAAGTGAGGTCAAACTACAGTCATTCGACAGTGGTTTTAATGGATGCATCTACATGGTAGAATGGATGCAGTTTGACCTCACTTGAATTGCTGTGGCCCAGTGCTATGGAAACAAGAGAGTTATAGTTTGGTAAAGCAACAAATAAGAAAGAAAGAATCTCAATATTTAAAAAGTTGGGATTTAAAGCAGAAACGTAAACTTTTCCTTCCGACTTTCCTAGTTTTTGATACTTTTGGCTTCGACTTTGCTTTTTGAAATCCAGGAATTTGGCCTAGCCACTTTCCCCAATTGTAACATGTCTCAAACCCTTCGTGATACCTTTGGTGTTTGTTTTGGCCTGAACCGTGAATGGAAAAGCACACGACGTTATTTCGAAAGCCATTTGAGGCTCTAGAGACATGCAAACAGCCGCCGAAAAAGAATGCAAAGCAACCGCCAAGAGGCAGGGCTTGGACTCTGGATGATGGGCATTAGAGTCCAAAATGGACTTCTCCGACTCAACTAAGGGCCCCTCCCTTCTGCACAGCCATATAGCCCAGAATATTAAGGCAGGCAATCCACAATACCTGCTTTGAATTTGGGTTATTTGAGTCCACACTGGTATATAATCCAGTTCAAGGACCCACAATGAGGCCTTCCAGACAGACCCGATATCCCAGGATCCGATCCCAAATTATGTGGACTCATATAATCCAGTTCAAAGCAGAAAACGTGGGATCAGATCCTGGGATACAGGGCCTGTCTGGAAGGGTTGGAGCTTTATTTTGGGGGAGGAAGAATTATCCTGAACATCAGTGGATTTACTTTGGGGAAACCATGGTTCCTTGCGGCTAAATCAGTCTGACCACTTTAATTGTCATGGCATTAAGTTAGGCAATCCTGGGATATGCAGTTTTACAAGGTCTCTGCCAAAGGGGGCTGTGCCACAACGGTTTAAGTGGTGTCAAACTGCATTAACTCCACAATCTAGATGCACCCCTACCTAGGTCTACTCACAATGAACTCCAATTAATTCAAATATTTCTTACTCCAAGGTAAATCTGTAAGTCTGTCCGGAAGGCAATTTGGATAAATATATTAGACGGTTTTCCCAAAGATAAATTCAATTTATTGGAAAGTGGGTGAGCCCTACAGAAATCAATGGCATTTAATTTCAAATAATCCAGTCCTGGAGTTTTCAGTACTTAAACCCAATCAGTTGTGTTTGGTCAACCAAAGGCAGTGAAAGCTGGAAAGGATTCCTGGACCTTTCATGGTGGCACAGGGTGCATCTACATGGTAGAACGAATGCAGTCTGACACCACTTGAACTGCATTCGAACAGTGTCTGGATCAGCATTTCTCAACCTGGGGATCGGGACCCCTGGGGGTGTCAGAGGGGTCACCAAAGACCATCAGAGGACACAGTATTTTCTGTTCGTCATGGGAGTTCTGTGTGCCAAGTTTGGTTCAATTCTCTCGTTGGTGGGGTTCAGAATGCTCTGTGATTGTAGGTGAACTATAAATCCCAGCAACTGCAACTCCCAAATGTCAAGGTCTATTTTCTCCAAACTCCACCAGTGTTTGGATTTGGGCATGTTGAGTATCCGTGCCATGTTTGGTCGAGATCCATCATTGTTGGAGTCCACAGTGCTCTCTGAATGTAGGTGAACTACAACTCCAAAACCCAAGGTCAATGCGCATCAAACCCTTCCAGTATTTTCTGTTGGTTGTGGGAGTTCTGTGTGCCAGGTTTGGTTCACTCCCATCATCGGTGAGGTTCAGAATTCTCTTTGTTTGTAGGTGAACTATAAATCCCAGCAACTACAACTCCCAAATGTCAAGGTCTATTTTCCCCAAACTCCACCAGTGTTCACATTTGGGCATATTGAGTATCTGTGCCAAGTTTGGTGCAGATCCATCATTGTTTGAGTCCACAGTGTTCTTTGGATGTAGGTGAACTACAACTCACAAACTCTAGGTCAATGCCCACCAAACCCCTCCAGTATTTTCTGTTGGTCATGGGAGTTCTGTGTGCCAAGTTTGGTTCAAGTTCATCATTGGTGAAGTTTGGAATGCTCTTTGACTGTAGTTGAACTATAAATCCCAGCAACAACAACTCCCAAATGACAAAATCATAATTCCCAAATGACAAAATCAGTGTTCACATGTGGGCATATTGGCCATGGAAGTTCTGTGCCGAGTTTGGTTCAATTCCATCCTTGGCGGAGGTCAGAATGCTGTTTGATTGTAGGTGAACTATAAATCCCAGCAACTACAACTCCCAAATCTCAAAATCAATCCCCCTGCAACTCCACCAGTATTTAAATATGGGCATATTGGGTATTTGTGCCCAATTGGGTCCAATGAATGAAAAAACATCCTGCATAATCAGGTATTTACATGACGATTCAATAGCAAAATCACAGTTATGAAGTAACAAGGAAAATAATGTTCTGGTTAGGATTCACCACAACATGAGGAACTGTATGAAGGGGCCGCGGCATTAGGAAGGTTGAGAATCAGTGCTGTAGATCATTTGGCCATTTGTTGGGAGTGCTTTGATTGTGCCTTCATGCTGTGTGCCTGCTCTGCTTCTGTGCCGAGGGCCTTTGGCACAGCCAAGGAGAGGGGTAGCGTGACAAAGGTCCGAGGCCAAAGTGATGGCAATCTCGATGCCACCCACCCGCCACAATGGCACCCTTGGCTTGCAATGCTCTGGTCAAGCTCAGGCCAGCACGCTGGGGAAGAAGCTCTTAAAGGGCCAGCGACTGCCCAGAGGGCAAAAAGACCCCCTCCCTCCCTCCCCTTCTTTAGTGCGTCCTTTGTGATGCGTGCTTTGGCCAGATAAGATCTCTGGGCAGGAGATCCCCAAAGGTGGGTGTCAGGGGTCTCCAGGCCACATTACAAACAGAAGCCCCGAGCAAGAGAGGGTCAGGAGGCCACAGGGCAACTGGCTTGTCACGCATGTTTGTGTGCCCTCTGCCACAATCACTTTTTCGCGTGCAAAACCAGCTCAGGGAAGTCACTCCACATGCACACGCCCATCCTGCCGGCCACACGCGCCTTTCCCAGCGTGCATCTTCACTGTAGCATGAATGCCGTTTGATGTGGCTCCATGCTCTGCCAATGGTGGGCTTCCTGCTTTGGTGAGGCACCAGCACTCTTTGGCACAGAAGTGGGATCAATCAGCATCCTTCTGCTGTGTAGATGCACCCCTGAATAAACTAAATCAGGGCCCTTCCACACAGCGGCATAAAATCCACACTGGACTGGATTATAGGGCAGTGTGGACTCAGATATTCCACTTCAAAGCAGATATCGTGCTTCATCAGCCTTGATGTTATGGATGATACGGCTGTGTGGAAGGGCCCCAAACCAACCAACTTTTCAGAACCCAGAGTTGAGAACTATGTACCCTTCCACACAGCCATAGTAAAAGTAAAGGTTTTCTCTTGACGCTACGTCCAATTGTGTCCGACTCTGGTGCTCATCTCTAAGCCGAAGAGCCGGCGTTGTCCATAGACACCTCCAAGGTCATGTGACCGGCATGACTGCATGGAGCGCCATTACTTTACTGCCGGAGCACTACCTATTCATCTACTTTTACATGTTTGCAAACTGCTAGGTTGGCAGGAGCTGGGGCTGACAGTGGGAGCCCCTGTGACCTTTTGGTTAGCAAGTTCAGCAGGTCAGCGGTTTAAGCCGCTGCACCACCGGGGGCTCCCCATAGCCATATAACCCAGAATA